ATCACATTATTCCTTTGATGTTGATTTAATTGTGAAGAGAGGACCCCTGAGTCACACTTGGTCCAATAGAACCTCTTGTGTAGTTATGTTATGTAGTAGCGAGCAATGAGCAGTGAAATGCATGTCAAGGTCATAAGTGTTCTTTAAATTCCTTTAGAGTCTACTTTAAACTACTTTCAAAATAGACGAGAAAGCAATGTGTGATAGTTAATTTGAGGAAATAAAAAGAAGCAAAGTTGCTAATGAGAAAATACAGTCAAAAGAAAAGGATTGATGGGATTAAATCTTGATAGGGTCTGTTGATGCTGATGGGGACCAATGACTAGGAATCAAAGCTAGGAATTATGGCTATAAGGGTCTCTGTCTGGAAAGGAAGATTCCTTTAGTAGCCAGGCACACTAAGGAAACTTCTGACTGGCTGCTGACCCCAGTGCCCACATTGACATGGGATTAACTTGTAGATGAAAGCCCCCTAAATAGGATGGCCTCCTTAACAGTTCAGAGAGGACCAATTCAGGTCAAAAACTCCACTGCCCAACATGAAGGAGGAGTTAAACACCAGAATGGCAAAGAGTACAGAAGGTGGTCCCCAGTTCTCCTGGTAAACAACCAACAGTGATACATTTGGAGACAGCATTGTCTCCTTTGTCATTCTCTGTTCAGAGACAGTCTCTCTCTCTCTCTCTCTCTCTCTCTCTCTCTCTCTCTCTCTCTCTCTCACACACACACACACAGTTTGTTTTTACTTTATTTTCACTTATCATAAAGTTCTTTTGGTGTCTGACTAAATTTTCTTTCATGGGAACACAAGAACTGAGGTTTGGAGTTTCAGTTCCCTACTTTTCTGTGACAGTTATAACTTAAATCTTGCTTGAGGGGAAGATTCATTCAGGTCTTTAAAGCTTATGTGTTTGTTTCTATAATAGAAAAGTGAATGAAGTGTACCCCTGTAATGTCAGATTCCTGGGACCCCAATAGACCTCCAGGAGCCGAATCCTATGCAAGCACACAAGAGTCTTTATTGCAAGCTTGAGCCTGGACTCACAACCGTTCCCGATGTAGGGGTCCCAGGGAGTCAGTCCCTGTCCTTTGTTCAGTGAGATTTTATAGGTTTTGGGGGGATCCTCTATGCATCACAACATCACACAGCAAATCATTCCATACTGAGGGAAAATCAAACAACGACTCTTCACATTGATTAAGCACATTCACTGGTGGGAACAAGCTGGGTAGGGGTGATTGGTTAGTACAAGAAGGGGATTCATTTGAACTGATTGGTTTAGGCCACGAGGGTGTATGTGCTAAACATGTTTCCCAACACGTTATCAACCACCATAAACTACTGGGAGGTCATCTGGCATCCCAGGTATTTTCCCTGTCTCAAGCTGATTGGAGGTTGCTAGGGGGGTTGCTATGGGTCCTCACCTGGCCTAACTGAGTCAGGGACACCTGGCGGTGCAGATCTCTCCTGTTATTTACAGACAAACAACTCAGCAGGGTTGGTATGTGCTTAGGAGTGCTCTGTGGGTTTTTTCAAGGACCAGGGTCATGCTCTCTTCCTTGGACAGGCCTTGAGGTAGAAGCTGGTTTCTCAAAAATGGAGTCACTTCAGTTTATCACCCCTTGTATCTGTAAATGTTGCTCTGTTCCCATGTATCTATTATTTTTTTTAGTATATCTATTATTTTATTGGAAGAAAATTAGGCATTACCAATGCCCTATGTCTCTACTCTTTAATCTTTCAGAGCTCAAGTGAGTACAGCACATTGCTTGCTGTTTCTATTTACAAAGATTTTGAATTTGTTTAAAGGATGTAGCTTCCTAGGATCCCAGGTTTATGTGCTGAGTCTTAGGTTTAATTGTTTCTGGAGTTGACCCAGTGACCTATACTTTGCACTCATGTTAATACTGCCGATTATTGATGAGGAGTTCTGCCTCCTCAAAAGTTGACATTTGAACATTAGAGAAGTGCTGAGGCAAGCATATAAAGCAGGTTTTGTTAAAAAAAAAAAAAAATATATATATATATATAGTAACACAGACTTCTCCTGGGAGGGAAAAGGGGGCCATAGCTGGTATCCTGGTATCCCAAGAAGTGAGACAGTCCTGCCCCTTTTATACATTTTAGACTTTCTTTTTTATCCTTCCCTCTTTCCCCTTATCTCTTTATCCAATGTAAGTGACTAAACCCAGAGATGCCGGTGGGATGGCCAAGAGGTGAAAAGCAGGTGGGCTGGAAGGGCTAAACTGGGATGATCTGGGGCAGGGAGGGAGAGGCAGCCCAGAGGGCATTAATTAGCAGCTCCCTGTTCGCTCTGGGGGTGCTTAGTTAACAACCTTTGGGAGGGGCAGTACAGTCTGGTAATCTTGGTAATCAAAGCACTCTGGAGGTATTAACATCCTAGCTTCCCAGGGTGGGTCTCCAACTTCCCAGACCCAAACAAGCCTCCATTTTCCCCATCTCACCAGATTACCTATCTACGCTAACTGCTTGTCTTTAATTTTGGCTTCAATGTGAGTTTTAAAATTTAAGTTCCTATATTTCCAAGATCAATTATGTTCTTTAGTGCAGCCTCAGACTCCCTGTTTTTTCCCTGGATTCATTTTTTTCTTTTTCTCTTTCTTTTCTTTCTTTTTTTGTTCTGTGAAGAATCTATAATATTTATTTTACTCCATTCAGAATTTCTTAGTCTTAACAATTTTTATATATTATTTCCATAGTCTTAAAAGTAAACAAACTGAGAAAGACATTTCAGGTCATTTTCGAGGTTATGATCCTTTTGGTTCCTTTGACATCGTATGAAGCTTAGCTGATGGAAGCTTTAACCCAAATTTCATTTTCTTATAATTTTTGACTTCCTCATGTTTACTTTATCAAAGCAAAAATGGTATGGCAAAGTAAAACAGCTAAGTAAGTCTTCATTCTAGACTATTGCTGTGGACAACTTCCCTGAAACAAAAGATGGGAGGGTTTTCAACATTTGTGTGAGTTAGTGGAATAGTAATGGAGATAATGTTAGTGGGAATGTTGAACAATGACAGGAGTCAAGCATGTTGCCTTATTGTGTCTGCAAATGTTATTCTGGGTGATTAGGCCATCTGTGGTTGCTGGTTGATGCTTAATGAAGTTGTTCCTTTTATCCTCTCAAAGAGACTGGGAGATCAGGGTTATTGGGCTCCCAGGTTTTTTAGGAAAACATTCCTGGATTGTAAAGCTGACAACAAGCTTTTTAAAGAGATATACATCTCAAAGGTGTGGGGAAATAATTTACTATTCTAGGTTCTTAAAAGGAATACTATAAGAAAAGGGAGTCAGGGGCTTAGAATCAGGAAGAAATCAGTCTACAGTTGCCAGAAATATGAATTTGTTGTTCAGTCTTATGTTTAAGTATTGCTTATCATTGGGAGCTTTTTTTTTAACGAAACCAATCATATGAATTTATTTTTTAAATTGACACATGAAAACATGAAAGTTACATATACTAGTATATATATTTTTAATTCATTTCCAAATATGTAGGGGACTGATAAAATGTATACAAGGAAAAAATAAGTTTTAAAATGATTTATTGAACAAAAGCTGAAAAAGTAAAAGTGAACAAACTTTTAAAAAGTAAGAAGTAAAAGATGCAGAATTTCTATAATGGTTTCATTTCTGGAGAGGTTAACAGTAAATGCTTGAGGCAATACTGACAAAAATTATGCAAGAAATTTAATGTTGAGAAATAATAAAATCTAGAAGAAATCTTGAGAATTAATTTATAGTGTGATAAATGTTGTCTAGTTGTTTTAAATTTTCTATTTCTATTTCTAATATACTCCATTTTATATAACCCTTTGGAATCCCTCTTGTACTTTCTTTATAGCAGATAATTCTATTTTAGGGCAAATCATGCCTAATTACATGTTTTTTCATTAAAGCATATCTATTTAGGTAGATTGAAGGCCTTGTCCATCATTAGGGTTACCTTGGATTGATTTGATTCACTTTTAACAACAACAAAAAATCTAAAATACAATTTGAAAACATATTTCAGCAATCCTGTCTCTGAAATAGTTTTAGATTTGCTCCTTTTATCTTAGAGGATTTTTTGTTTGTTTTTATTGTTACTGTTGTTGTTTTGCTTGTTTAAGGTACTGAGAATTGAACCCAGAGCCTCGGGCAAGTGCTCTATCACTGAGTTCTCCTTCTGCTCTAGAGTTTTAGATTGTGGTTGTATAATCTACATTAGGTTTCATTATATTGTATCTCAAGTCTATGAAATTTTTTAAATTCTATTTCTTATATACAACTAATAAAATATATCCTCATTTTCATCTGGACTTAGAGTAGTCAAGAAAAACTACTTAACAATTTCTTGATTGTGACTTACTCATTCTTATGTTTGAGCTTATATACATGACAATTTCCCTAAATGAAGTACTTCTGGGTCAGTGTTTTTACACTTGTTACTTCTTCAGACAGCACATACCTCCACACCACCTGGAAATCTTGTTCCAGATTCTAGAATGGTAGAGCTCAGTGATCATTATTTTTAAAAAGAAGCCAAGTGACTGTGATTTGACCATCTATTCAACTATCTTCTGAGACACTCACCTAGAATCCTACGTTTTCTCAGAGTTGGCTTAAGCATAAAGGCATTTGGATTAGTTTTGGTTTTGCTATCCTATATTCTGAATATGAGCATAGTCTTTACCTTCAGTATCCTTCTGTGTGAAATTAATTAATAACTTCTTTCATAGAATTACAAAATCAAAATTTAGTCAGATTACAAGTAATTAGCTATTCATTGTTCAAGGTGTTTTGGCCCTATTGATTTTTTTTTTTTTTTTTTTGGTTTTTGCTACTGATACCTTCACTAACACAAAACTCAACTAACAAGGGTGAAGAAAAAATTTTTGTTACGAGGGAGTGAAGCTAGAGGTGCTTAACCACTATGTCACATCCCCAGCCATTTTTTATATTTTATTTAGAGACAGGTCTCGCTGAGTTGCTTAGGGCTTTGCTAAGTTGCTGAGGCTGGCTTTGAACTCATGGTCCTGTTGCCTCAGCCTTCTGAACCTCTGAGATTATATGCATGTGCCACTGCACCCAGCTTGAATTTCTCTATCTAATTCTTTCAATGTATTTATCTGTTAATTGAGATGCACCTTTGCATTGTTTTAACTATGAGGAAGTAGTGCGAATGTAAGTTGTCAGATTATTGGCTAGAGTTGTAGTGGCAGGAGGTGGTAATGTGCTGCTGGTAACAGTGGAAGTGGCTTTAGCTGTATTTGAGACTGTATTTATGGTGATGGCAGTCATGGTTCTCTCACTAGAGTTGTAGTTTCAGTAGTTGAAGAATCAGGTTCAGCAGTGAAGTTAGGAGTAACTGGGATTGTTGTGGCAGTACCTGGTGCTCTGGTACTGGCAATAGTCGTGCCACCTGAGACTGTTGGTGTGGACTCATTGATTGTGAAGGTTACAACTATTGCAGTGGTAGCTGTCAAGGAGTGGTAGTTGTAACTGAAACAGTTGTAGCAGTAACAGCCATAGATGTGGTTCCTGCTTTTAAGGTTGTGGAATTGGCTGAAGGGGTTGTGGCATCAGTGGGTGAAGTTGTGGCATCTTTAGGTGGAGTGGCAGCAGCTTCTGTGGTGGTTGTGTTACCTGCTTGTTGAGTGGAAGCCTCCTCTCCTGGAGTTGTAGCTGTAGAAACCTGGGTGATGTTTTCACCTGGACTTGTCAAGACAGGAGTTTGTGCAGTAGAGGCAGAAGTTACAAAGGTTGAAGTGGTAGTACGTTGTTCAGTTGTGGCAGTAACTACTACAGTTGTGTTGGCAGCAGCAGAAGTGTCACTGGAGGTTGTATCTATTCCTGAGGTTGGGGTAATCGTTCCCTGAAATGCTGTGGTTGAGGATCCATCAGTTGTGGTAGAGTTGGCAGTGGATGTGAAGTCTGTTTCTGAGATTGTGGAGTCACTTGTACCACTTGTGAACCCATCAAGTGGTATTGTAGTGGAAGCGGCTGACTCAGTGGTTGTGTTATCTACTGTTTGGGTGGTAGTTGCATCCGCAGGTGTGACTGTAGCACTTGATGCAGCTGTGGTGGCAGTGCCAGTTGCACTAGTAGTTGTAGAACTTGGTGCAGCTGTTGTGGTAACTGATGCAGTTGTAACAGAACTAGAAGAAGCAGAGGTAGAAGTTTTAGGTATTTCTGTGGTAGTAGAAGCAAGGGGTGTAGCTGCACTGGCTGATGATAAGGTAGTACCACTTGAGGTGTTATCAATCACTAGGGTTGTAGAAGGGGTTGTGGCTCCAACAGGTGTGGGGGTTGTGGCTGTAGCAGTGGTGGCAGTGATGACAGGAGATGTGGTACCTGTGTGTGCTGAAGTTGTAGCAGCAGTTTGAGTGATGGAATCATCTGTGGCTGGGAGGGTGACTGTTGTGCTTGCCTCAGTTTCTAAGTCGTTTGTGGTAAAATCAGATGCAGTGACAGAGGCAGAGGCTAGGAGGGTTGTGGAGATGTCCCCTGGATTTATGGAGACTGTGGTGCTGAATTCAGTAGTTACTTGGACTGTGGGTTCTGCCGAAGGTCCTGCTGAAGTAGCTGCAGAAGCTGCTGCAGTTGTGATGGAGGCAGGCTCTGTGGATGCAGCTCCTATTGTTGAGTTAGTGGCTGATATCAAGGTTGTGGTGGCAGTCACATGAGATAGAGTTTCCGGTGAGCTGGTTGTTGCATCTGATCTCTTGGTGGTAGAGGTACTTGCATTAGTTGAGGCAACTGATATAGATGTTTTGCTATTGGCTATAGTACTAGTGATAGTGACCAAATTAGTAGTAACTCTAGGTGCAGCAGTACTCAAGGTATCATTTAAGTCAGTTGGCTTAGTTGTAACGCCTGTTGGAGTTGTCTGAGGTATTGGCTTATGGCAGGGTGGTTTATGAGATGTGTGAGGTTGGTGGTGAGGATGTTCATGGAGATGTGGGCCATTTGGCCTTGGGTACTTATGAGGTTTATTTGGCCATGAACAAGAATGTTTAGTTTTATCAAATGGAAATTTAGCAAGTCCGCATGAAGGAGATTTAGATGGAACTGAAGGATGAGAATGTGATGGAAATGGTTTTTTGATTTTCTGGAAAGGTTTCTCTTTCCTTTGTGTATACTTTTTCTCTACAGCCTGAATAGATTTAGATCCTTTTGATTTAGATAACTCTAATTTCTTTTTGGCAAGTGCAGACTTCCTTTCTTTAGATTGCTTTACAAATTTGTCTGCTAAGGGAGGTGGTCTTTTTACCCCTTGAAGGGATTTAAGCTGATTTTTATCCTTCTTAGAAGATTTAGATAGTTTATTTTTAGACTTGCTTAGTCTGTTATTTGCTGTTAGAGGTGGGGATGGTTTTATAGATTTAGTATTTGCAAGATGTGTTTTTGCAGACTTTATACCTGCTACAGGCAATTTCTGCTGATTTTTGGCAGGTACAGATATCTTTTGGATTTTCTTCTTGGCTGGAGAACTTTCTGGACCTGATTTAGTTTCACTGAATGGTTGTTTGGCAAGTGTTAGTTGATTTTTTGTAGGGTTTTTCAGAGTTTTTCTGCTTGTTTCAGATATTTTTGGCTTTGTAGGTAACTGACCTACTTTAAGTGCTTTAGACTGATTTACTTGCTTCTTGGCAGGTGCAGAAAAGGGGTTTTGGGCTTTCTTTAACATTCTGGTTTCAGCTGTAGATGTTTTCTTTTTTGTTTTATCTGTTCCTGGCTGAACGAGGTTTTCCTTTGCAGATATAGGTGTTATCTTTTTGGATTTAGTTAGACTTTTGTCTTTGGCTTTGAAAGCTGTCCTTATTGATGTTGTCTCAGTAGATCCTTTTTTGACTGGAGCTATCTCATTATTTTGCTGATTGAGAGTTTTCTTTCTGGTTAAAGCTTTTTCAGGGATTGATTTAACTGTTGATGCCTGATTTAAGTTTTTCTTGTCAATTAAAGGAAGAATTCTGTTAGATTTAATTGGTTGTTTCCTTTCGGACTTAGATGATTGGTTTTTGGTTGATGTAGATAAGGTTTTTTTTGAAGTTTCTAGTGGTTTTTTCTTAGGTAGAGATATTTGGGGAGCTTCTCTAATTGTAGATAGTGGTAACTGAAACTTAGAAGGTATTGACTTAGCAAGTGTTGATTGGCCAGATTTTTTCTTCTCACCTGGTGTTCTAGAATCTGAGGGTAACTGGCCACCTGCTTTGTTTGGCAGTACAGAAAGGGATGCAGCCCTGGCAGGTAGAGGCTGTGATTTTTGAGTATTGAAAAGTGATGATGAAGCCCTCAGGGGTGACCTATGGACAGCTGGGTCAGAAGCATGAGAATAGGCTTGAGGTTTCCTAATGAACTGGGTAGATGGAGATCTGCTTTGTGATGGCCTGATGGGTGAGCTTCGGATGGGTTGACGGTTGCTTGTCTTTTCTGCATGGTGCCTTGATTGTTGGCTTTCACTGAACTGCAGTGGAAGAACAGATGATATCACCAAGTGAGACACTAAATCAATTATTGGTTTTCATTTTTATTTTAGTTAGGGTACTTGTCTGCTGTTTGAATTGAAAAATGTTTTAAGTGTATTTAAATTTAGAATAAATTGACATATAAATTCATAATAGAATGAGGTGAGGGAATAGAAAATCTCAGGCCTTACCTCCACTGAAAGTTCAACTAGCAACCAACCATTTATGAACTGGCAAATCTTGGAAACAAGCCTTAAGCTACTCACATTATCCACAAAAATTAATCTAAACTGAATTAAAAGTGTTAGAATAATAGTCTTACTGTGAACATGCTACCCTTTCCTTTCCCCAGGTTGACAGTGTCAAACAGAGAGAAATTCCCTGGGGCCCACATAGTTTCAAAAGGGGATAAAAAATGGTCTCCTACTTTCCTGGCTTTCACTGAATTTTCTGGTAGGCTGTTCTGGCCTCACTTCATAGGGAGCCCAGGTACTAAGGGCATAGCTAGATCACTTTTTGGGTCAACAAGGAGTTTGAACTTATAGTGGCCAGCACATGGCTCTTAGGTGCTGCCTCTGTTTTTCTGCTAGCTATGACATCTCATCAGACACCATCCAACTGTGTAGCACACTTGTAAAATTGAGCTGGTTGCTTTCAAAACATGATGGAGATTTCAACCTGCTTTGGATCCCTAGAGAGTTAGTTTCCACATTCAGCTTCAGAATCCACTGCAAGCATCACCCCTGCTCCCCGCCACACCCAGATCCTTGCTTTCATGCATTTTGAAAAGAATGGGTCTATACTCAAGCCAGGAGGTCAAAGAGTGGCTCACATTGGCCAAAAGGCTACTTCAAAGCTCTGCCCAGGTAGGGAGATGTCTGTCTCCACTTATTTCAAAGAAGTGTAAGGGATAGAAAGAGCAGCTAAGCTCAGCCCAAAAGCCTTCCCTAAGGCCTTATCCAATCAGAGATTTGCTCACTTCTATGTACTTTGGAGAATTGTAGGGTAAACATGATTCTTCTAGAAAGCCAAATAGACTTCATTCAGCCAAAACCTACCTGATGACCCCATATATAGAGAGAGACAAAAATAGTCATGCATTTCTCCAGAGCATAGTCTCTGCCCATCCCAAGCAGTGATTCTGACTAACTTCAGACCCCAACCTTTAGCTCTGTACAACTGCAGATCCCAAATAGCAGAATCACCCAGCCATGGAATATATTCTGTAACTAGCCTGACTGAAGGCTATTACAGTACCCAGCCAGTGACTCTGCCTGATAGCAGATTTTCTAGCCAGTACTAGCAACTCCATCTGACATCAGAGAAAAGACAGTAGCCCAACCAACAAGGGAACCCACAACAAGCTCCTTTTGAACCATAGGATAAATAATGAAGATCTTTCTCTGCTAAAGATGGATGTAAATGTCACAAGAGATAGCTTTCTTCTCAAATGGGCAAACAATAATGCAGGGAAATAAGAATCATGAATATTTAATAGAAGAACATAACAAAAACAGAAAGAATTCAAAGCATTTCACTACAGAAAATCATCTAATCACAAAGCAAGACAGCAAGAGAGGAAGAAACATAATATCTACAGAACAACCAGAAAATAATTAGCAAAATGATCATGATAAATCCTTGCCTTAATTAGCAAAATGGTCATGATAAATCCTTGCCTATCAAAAAGTTACTTGGAATGTAAATGGATTAAATTATCCAATAAAAAGGAATAGAATGACAGAATGAATAAGAAACAGAAATAAAATACAAAAATCAACTTTGTGATGCCTACAAAAGAAACTCACCTCACTTTAGACTGTAAGTGAAGGAATGAGTAAAAGATATTAAGCACAAATGAAAACCAAAAGAACATGGATATCTACAATTTTATTATGTAAAACAGATTTTACACTAAAAACTGTAAGATAGACACAAAAAGGAGGTTATATAATGAAAAAGGAGTAATTTACCAAGAAGATATAATGATTATAAACATATATGTGTGCTCATAGTAACATACAAACATATAAAGCATACGTTAATAGATCTGGATGGAGCAATAGATTGCAATGCCATAATAGTAGGGAACTTTAATTCCTCACCTTTAGGAATGGACAGATCATTAAGATGTAAAACTGATCAGGAATCGTTGCACTTTAACAACAACTTTAGACCAAATGGATGTAATAGACAATTATGGAACATTCCATCCAATAACAACAATTTTTTTCAAGCACACAAGAAACATTTTCCCAGATAAAATTATATGTCAGACCACAAAATAAGTCTTAGCAAATTTAAGAAAATCAAAATCATATCAAATATCTTTTCTGACCACAATGATATAAAACTAGAAATCCATAATCAGAACAATTTGGAAAATTCACAAATACATGCAAATTAAATAACATGCCCCTGAACAACCAATGGGTCAATGAAAAAGTTAAGAAGAAAATTAAATTAAAATAATATCTTGAGACAAAAAAATTAATACACAGTGGATTAAATTATCAAAACTTGTGGGATGCAGCAAAATCAGTTATAAGATAAAAGTTTACAGTAATAAATGCCTACATAAAAAGGAAGATCTTAAACAAAAATTTAATCCTCAAGGACTTAGAAAAACAATAAATTAAGCCCAAAGTTAGCAGGAGGAAGAAAATAAAAATTTTTCTTTCTGAACAGAAATAAATAGAGACTAGAAAACAATATAAAAATCAACAAAGAGTTGGTTATTTGGAATGACAAACAAAATAGCTAAAACTTTAACTTGTCTAAGAAGAAAAGAACAGACACTCAACTAAATAAAATGAGAAATAAGAAATATTGCAACTGAAACCACAGGAATACAGCTGAAAGATCATAGACCAGTATGAACAACAGATTTTATAACCTAGAAGAAATGGATAAATTCCTAGATACACACAATCACCAACACTACATCATGAAGAAATTGAAAATCTGAACAGACCAGTAATGAGTCAGGAAAATTTGAATTAATAACAAAACATCTCCTATCAAAGAAAAGCATGGGCTGTGAATATTTTTCCTGTTCTGATTTTGTGATAATCAGAACAGGCTAAACATACACCATATTGAGACCATGCATTTGTCCCAGAGACCTAGTTCTTTTCCTATGTGTGGTTTTATAAATGCTAGCAATAAACCAAGTCAGCTTATATTTGATCAACTTTAAGAAAAATAACATTACAGCTGGTACAATAACTTGTAAGTTATCAGTGCTAATTTGCAGACTTGTCTAAGGAATACATAATAAATCCATGCATATGCTCAACTAATTTTTGCTAAATTTTCCAAGAATACACAATGGCAAAAGGAGTCTCATTAATAAATGATGTGGAGGACACTGTATGTCCACAGACACAGGAATGAATGACACTCTTATTTCATATACAAAATATAAATTTCCCTACAACCAAAGTAGGTAAATTTTGTGACTACCAGTTGCCATTAAATAAATTGTAAAATTATTATATTTTTATTTTCTAGAAAAAAATAATAGTTAATCACAGAATCTGATGACTTCACTTCTGGATTCTACCAAATCTTTATAGGACAAGTATTCAAACTTCTCAAGCTCTTCCAAAAAAATCAAAGAGGAAATACTTCCAAACATTGTTTAGGAGGCTAGGATATACTTGATATCAAAGTCAGACAAGAATATTACAAGACAATAAAATTATGGTCCAGTATTTCTAATGAACATAAATAAAAAATCCCCAACTATCAATCTGAACTACACAAAATATTAAAAAATAATTCACCAAGATCAAGTGGAATTTATCCTTGGTATGCAAAGATGATTCAACATATGCAAACTAATAAATTTGATATAGAAGAAATGTATCTTAACATGATAAAATCTGTATTTATGATTGTATTTAATGGGGAAAAATTAAAAGCCTTTCTCTCATACTTGCAACAAGACAAAGATGCACACTCACCACTTTTATTAACCGTAGGGTGGGAAGTCCTTGCCAGAAAAGAAAGAAAAAGTAAGTGTTGCTGTTTGCTGATGACATGACTTTATATTTAGAAAATCCTTAAGGATCCTCAAAAATCTCTTAGAAACTGATAATGAATACATAAAAGTTACAGGATAAAAATAAAAATAAAAAAATCAGAAGCATTTCAATATGCTAACAATTGGCTATTTGAAAAGAAATCAAGAGAGTGGTCTCATTTATATACAGTTACAAAAATACTTAGGGATAAATTTAATCAAGGAGGTGACAGGACTGAAAACCGTAAACATTGGTGAAAGAAACTGAAGAAGACAGAAAAAAATGAAACGATATTCCATGTTTGTCCAACGGAAGAATTCATATTGTTAAAATTTCTGTACTGCCTGAAGCAATCTACAAACTTAATGAAATCCTTATAAAAATACCAATGTTATTTTTCATAGAAATAGATAACCAATCTTAAAATTCATGTGGATCCACAAAAAAAGCTCAAATAGACAAAGTAATCATAAACAAAAAAGAGTAAACTTGATGGCATCAGATAACTTTATTTGAAATTATACTACAAAGTAATACAATGACAGCATCATGATACTGGCATAAAAGTAGAGCCAGAGACCAAGCAACAGGATATAAATCCCAGAAATAAACCCATGCATATGCTCAATTAATGTTTGCTAAAGTTTCCAAGAATCCACAATGGCAAAAGGAGTCTCATTAATAAATGATGTGGAGGACACTGTATGTCCACACACAGAGGAATGGAATGACACTCTTATTTCATATACAAAATGTAATTCAAAATGGATTGAAGAATGAAATGTAAGCCCTGAAACTGTAAAACTACCATAAGAAAATGTAGGTGGTCAGATATGTCACATTGGTCTGGGCAATGATTTTAAACTTGACCCCAAAGTGCAGACAATAAAAATAAAGATTAAATAAATGGTATTACATCACACTAAAAAGTTTCTGTGTAGTCCGTGAAACAATTAGCAGATTGAAAAGATGATCAGTAGATTGAGATAAAATATTTCTAAGCCATACATCCAAGAAGGGGGTAATCTTCAAATATATAAGGGTCTAAAACAACTCAATAACAAGAAAACGGCTCAATTAAAAAATGGACAAGTGACCTGGATAGACATTTTTTGAGAAGATATATAGGTGGGCAATAAAATGTTTAACATTGCTAATCTTTAAGGAAATTCAAATTAAAATCATATTGTAATAAACTTCGAATTTATCAGAATGGTCATTATCAAAAAGATGAAAGATAGTGTTGGTGAGGATGCAGAGGATTTCTTGTGCACTGTGGTGGGAATGTAAATAGAACAGTCATTATGGAAAACTATTTGAGGTTCCTCAAAAAATAAGAATAAAAATAGAATTATCACATGACCCAGAAGTACCATTTCTGGACATTTACCCCAAAGACTTGTAATTGGTGAATAGAAGAAATGTCTGATTTCTATTTTTAATAGCCAAGTTAAGGAATCAACCTAAGAGCCCATTGACAGATAAATGGATGAAGGCAATGTGGTGTATGTACCCAGTGGAATAGTTTTCAGCTTTAAAAAAGAAGGTTCTGTCCTCTGTGACAATGTTGATGGAATTGAAGACTATTGTTCTAAGTAAAACAATTCAGGCACAGAAAGACAAATACTGTATATTCTCACTTTTTTGTGGAATCAAATTAATCAAACTAATAGAATCAGAAAGTACACTGATGGTTATAAGGAGTGAGGGGGTGAGTAAAATCAAGAGACAATGGCCAACATACAAAATCTCAGATAAAATTATAAGTGGGGTTTTATTAAGAACTATTTTTTTATTAAGATCTATTGAACAGCATGATGAATATAGTTAATAATAGAACATTAGCGTTTCAAAATTGCTAAGAGTAAAAAATTCAAATGCTTGCACTACAAAAAATTGTATTTGAGGTGATATGTTAATTAGCTTGACTTATTATTTCAAGTTGTATTAATAAATAATAACATCACTTTTTACCCCATAAAGATATATGTTATTGTCAATATATGATGAAGTTTTAAAAATTAAAATAATGGGGCAAAATATGTTTAGACAAAGAACCTTGTAATTACTTGAATATTTACTAAAAAAAACCTTTTATTTAACTATAAAAATGAAATTTGGGGAAATCAAATTAATTGGTTTGGTATAATATTTCCATTAAATATATTAAAACCTATTTTAAATTTAGACTGTGGAGTAAAAAATTACTATCATGTTCTTAATAAATTAACAAGAACCACACAGTAAAACATCACTCAAATTTCAATGAAAGTATTACAGCTAAACTCTGATTTAGAAACTATACAAAAGAGGGAGATTTGATGCTGAATTCAGAAAATTAAAAAAAATCAATTTCAATGGTTTTTATTGCTTATAAAAGCTTTCAGTTTTTTTTAAAGAGAGAGAGAGAGAGAGAGAGAGAGAGAGAGAGAGAGAGAATTTTTTAATATTTTTTCGTTTTCGGCGGACACAACATCTTTGTTTTTATGTGGTGCTGAGGATGGAACCGGGCTGCACGCATGCCAGGCGAGGGCGCTACCACTTGAGCCACATCCCCAGCCCCAGCTTTCAGTTTTATTGCCTATAAACTTTTCTCTCGGGTATCAATTGCCATGGGCAAACATCTACCAGGAAATTATAGTGATGACATAAGGCAGAACGTATTTTGGAATAAAGAATGGTAGACTAAATGACACTGACAGACATTTCAAGAGTAATTATAATTCCTTTTTTTTTTTAAAGAGAGAATTTTATTATTTATTTTTTAGTTTTCGGCAGATACAACATCTTGGTTTGTATGTGGTGCTGAGGATCGAACCCAGGCAGCACGCATGCCAGTCTGGCACGCTACCGCTTGAGCCACATCTCCAGCCTAAGAGTAATTATAGTTCTAAACAAATTGTTTAGTGTGTCCACTGATCAAAAAGAAATATAAGGAGCTAGGGAAGTCAGTAATTTAATAAAAAGAAAAGGAAGTTTTTCTTTTTTTAACTGCAAGAGATGTAAAAGCTATAATATTCTGGAGACACAGGGCTTACTCAGAATAGTAAATCAAATCTAGTTGCACAAATCATGTGTCAAATGGGTCAAAAAATGTGATTGTTTACTCTAGGTATTAATAGAAAAGACCATCTTCCCTGTCATTGTTTTCTTGTCTTCAGTGGAAGAATATATTACAACTTTTGATCATAAGAATATGAATATTAAACCTAGAGGTTGAGTGAAAAACAAATTTAAGAAATGAGTAAACTCATCTCTTCCTTGCACATTCAGAGTGAAACTTTCTTCAAATAGAGGTGATGGGTGGACTTGGGCATTAAGAAGAAGTTCTAATATTTCAATGTAAATTTAGTTCTATTCCTCCAAATTTATTTGAAGATTTTCTCAGACCTTAGCTTTCTTAACTAATAGTCATGCCCTCTTTGGATTTTTTACCTCTCTCTGTTTCTTTATTTTCTGTCTATCTCTCCCTTTCCCTTGCTTCTTTTCTTCAAATTCCAGGTGATTTTTAAATAGACATGTTTCTATGTATGTTGGAAGAAAACGATAATTGTTCCTGTTTCTTTTTATTTATGCAAGTATGTCCTGTTTTTAAATACGCAATGCCTTGATCTCATTTTAAGCCCCATCTCAGTGTTAGGTAAGTCTTTAATTTTATGTTGTTCTTTGATTTTCAAATATTTCTAAAATTTTACCTGAAAACAAATGGCAAAAGTCAGAAGGAGTTCACTTAGCATTGAAGCCTTCATCCTGTCCTTTTAGAACCTATGAAAAACAAGAGAGATAATTTGCCAAATGCTTGACAATGAGAGAATTGTCATATTTTAAGAAACATCCAAGGGATACAAAATAAAAATTTGGTGGCAATTTTAAGAGAATAATTAAAAACATGTTTCTTAGGTTAAACTCAAAATGTGGATGTGAAATTAAAATATACACTAATTTTAAAGTTACCATTTTTTATAACTTTTAAAAAATAAGTTATTTCCATTTAGTTTTCTGAGATTAGTATTTTTGTTTAAATTCTCACCTAAGAATTTTATCTTTGATTAGGAATTATACCTAGGAATCTTCATAATTATCCATCATCCACTTACTGCACACATAAATATCAGACATATACACACATCCTTCTTGTCCTCCTCTCCCCAAACTGCATTCATTAAGGGAAACTGCATCAATTGTAGCATAAAGAGAGTTCTAAAAAGGTGTATGGTGTGCTATTTGACTTCAGAGGTCAACTCAATGGAACTCAGCTTCTGGAAGCCTGATGTGGGAAATGATACCCCATGTATTATTATGTTACAAGAACAGCTTCTATGAAATCTTGAAATTCTGTGATATTATTTGACTCTCTTCTTCCTTCTAGTTCACATATTTTAGTCATAAGATTCTATGCATGTTCTTCTATAATTATTTTATAAAAGATCATTGAATATTTTGCTTATTGATAACTCATTGTTAGATGATGGACACATCACGATTAAAGTTTTTAAATAATTAAGTCTTTCTGATCTGTGCTACTACAATTTTGAACAATACAGTGTTGCTCCATCTAATACTAGATAGTTCTACGGGTGGAAAGTATGCAGTGTTTCTATGGTGCCAAATTATTGAGATGGGTATGTACAACAAAGGTTTTCTGGTCCTAGAATTTTGAGAAAGGAAATGGAAAATAAAAGAAGTCTGTATCTATCTTAGGAATGACCCTAGGGAAGTAGCATAATGAGTTTCAGAAAGTCTATAGTAGCATGTGAGAATGGTTGCAGGACCCTAAGTTTCTCTGGCCTTGGTGCAAAAGATCAACGTTTAGAATCATCATTAGAAAATCTCTGAAACACAGTATTTCAATCTGAGTCTGAACTGAATCAATTTACATGAGCTTTTCACATGAAACAGAAAAATTTTCAGCGTCCCCATTTCAGTGAGTGGCATGATAGTGGACTGGTGGTGTAGTTCAGAATTCTGAGTCAGTGGTGATGACTCCCCAGATCTTCACCAATCACTGAACTCTCTAGGTACTTTACCTCCTAGACCTTATGAATGAGTTCACTTCTATTGTCTCCACTAGCATCCTCCAATCCAAGTTAAGATCATATCTCCTCTGGGCCATTTCTTAACTCCTCAAACAGTTATGTGCTGGGTACTGTTTGGGGAGACAGAGATTATAGGACGAAGAATACAGTGTCGCTGATCAATTATTGTAGTTTTTGTTCTCATGAATACCAAAATGGTTTCTTAACTGACTCATAAGCTTGCTTTCAATCAACACTACAGTCATTATGGCTCTTATAAAATATGAATCTATTATTCTAGACTCCTGGTTAAAACCTTTCATTGGTTTTCCATTGATTGTTATTTTAAACCTAAATAAATAAATAGAATATCATCAAGTGGCTTATAAGGCCCTTTGTAGCCCTTCACTCACTGTTTTTGTTTTGTTTTGTTTTGTTTTTTAGTCACATCTTTCTAATATACATCATGGATGTATATGTGTGTGTGTGTTTGTGTTTGTAATACTCTTTTCTTCCTCAGTCTTTTTAACTTTAACGTTCTACAGCAACAACTGAATTAAGGCTTTTTATCCCACCTACACATTGTAACAACTCCAATCAAATTAGCTGATGACATGTTTATTGTTAGAGATAATGCTTATCTTACAGGATGAAATTCTCTCTAGTGTTTAATAAGGAGCTGTTCCCTCTTCTTATCCTGGCTTTGTACTTCTTTAAAATTCTTTCTTAATTTCCTTCTTTTCTCTTTTTCTTTAATGTTTTAATATTAGTTCTCTTTCCTTCACTCTATGGTATTATTCCTGCAGTCAGTTGGAAATGGCATCTGAATTTTTTTGACCAAGATTTGTATATCAGCTCTTTTGTGGGCATCTTTGGTTGTGCCATTGCACTTTTAACTGACCTGTCCAAAATTGAATTCATAATATCCTCTAACCTCTTCTTGACTAAGAAAGCAAACATTAATACAGAAAAGAAGACAAAAAAATAGTAAATGTGCCCTAGAGAAATTGGCACTATTCATGCAATTACCTTGAGTTGAGAGTCTCCTTTGGATCTTGGTCAGGACTTGCTTCTTAATGACCCATCAGTAATTCTAAGACTTGATTCCCACAAATGTAAGGAGAAGTAATTGAAAGATTCTTGCATCTAATAAAGCAATTATGCCTTCTTGTGCCCCTCCTACTCTTCTCCTATTGGTTAAGGTAGGGGAAAAAAACAATTGTGTATATGGATTAAGTTTAATCCTGAAGAATTTACCCTTTGAGATTTTTCTCTTCTAGAAACATTGCAAAGTCTTTTACTTGGAAGGGATAAGGATGAAATTTCATTGTTAAAAAATTTATAAATTAATACTATGGGTTTTGGCTAGGTTTATCACAGATTTTGAGAAAATTAGGTTTTCTTATTAGTAGTTATAGAAACTTGGTTTCTTATTGGTAATTATAGAAAAATTTATATATTTTCAAGTACCTCAAATATTTTAGGATTTGGTCAACTACATTTTTATAGTTTGCTTCAATATTCTAAAGTTTAACAATCAAATAGATCAACATTGAAATAATTGGAGGATGTAAATAATTTAAATAATTTCCACCATTGGGTCAAAGATATTTAAGCTTTTAAATTCAAATTTGAATGTTATGGAAATGTGTGAAATACACTTATTCTACTGAACTTTCACCATCCCCTTGCAACTCTTTGGACTTAGAATCCCCCAAATTTTGAAGAACATATATTAATTTATATACTTACTATATTCTGAATCCTTTTTCAATTCCTGTCACTATACATATGAAAAATGTAGATAATTTTCATTCAACATAATATTTTTAATTAATTTTTTACTTACTTATATACCATTTTCACATATTTATCTATGTTAAACTACACACCAGAACAAAGGACAAATGCACTGGTTCTGAACAAGTACAGCCATGAGATATCACCAATGACTTCAAAACAAAATGCAAAATTTTTGTTAAGACAATTTTAGACTAGTAAAACGTGCACTGAACTAGGAACAGAAAGCTTAGGTCTGTTGTTTTATTATTATGTGAACTTAGTACCTGCTGTTTTCTCACTTGTAAAATGAGACTCATTCTGAGACTATTTACCAGGATCATATTGTGTGTTCTATAAGCATAAGGTATTATGTTACTGTTGGATGAATAATTAAGTATAGAGGGCAGGATGAGAAAAGTGTGTGAATTGGAAAAACATATGAACCAATGTTATACAATTCTTCTGTCAAGGAAAATATAAGCATAATTAAATTAACTCACATAAAACAACAAGAGTTGATGTCAGAATTAAAATATTCATGGAAACGCTTTGTAAACTCTAAAGCTCTATGCAAAAACACTTAAAATTTAGCCTATTGTTCATTAGATTTTTCTAGTAACTCATTTTTATGGGTATATTTAATATAACCTTAAATTTCATCAGTATTGAACTTCAAATGATATATATTTGTTTATCTATTCAGTAGATATTTATTGAATAATCACTCTGTGGTAGTCATTGTGAATTCAGTAAGAGATAATAACAAGCGCAGTTCCTGCCTTGAGGAGCTAAGGATGTACTGGAGAGGAATAACACAAAAAGAAACAAACGACTTTGATTCATAATCCCTGGTTGCTATAGAAGTAGGTTTCCACTCAAGTATTTTTCTTGGACAACCTTTTCCATCAACCTTTGCTTCTAAGAACTTTGTGAAGATGAGAAGACAGGGTTTGGCTGTGCTTGAATCACTGGTGTGTGCTTGATAATCAGTATCAAAATAAGGACTGTGCAACAACAATATGCAATGTTATTCTTTCTGAGATCTGAGGTAATCACTTTAAAGTTAACAAAATTATATATATTTATGACTGTTACACTGATTTGACTCAAGAATTTCCTCCTTTCTCTTTTCACACCAATAGCATCTTTTCCTTTGTAAATTCAATGTTATTTTAGGAGTTTTAATTATAGTTTTCATTTTGATTCATATATTAGAAAGGTTGTTGTAAGTTAAGGATTTTTGTCTACATAATCTTGAAATTTGAGTTTTTAATGAACAAGTTTGTAATGAAATTTCTTAATGTGGACTTTTTAATCATATAAACTTATAAGTTTAATGTAAATATTAAAATTATTTATGTCTTCTCCAATGTGAATTCAATGATAATTTAGAAAGTTTTAGGAACATAGACCAAGCTTTTTTTATGAATTATGTAGTCATTAGCCTGTGACAAATGAAGAAAAGGGATTATTAATAATTTGCCTATACCAACAAGATTATATAAAATATTATATACTTGTAAATATTCCTGTCAAATTCTTGAGTATTTTGACATGACCTTGGAAGTACTTCTTCAGCTATTTTAAATCTTTATTTCATATTCAACAATTAGAGATCAGCTTGCCCATTTGTCCCAAAATAAAGTGTTTCAAAAAGCAAGGCAGTATAACATTATTAGGTAATAGAAAATTTTAAAGAAAAATAAATATACATATTTTGAAGGGAGAATAAAAATGGTTATATAAATTGAAACTGTAATCTTAAATTATTTCCAAATAGCTAGTAGCAATTCAAAAATAGATGGGAATTTGCCAGGCATGGTGGTGCATGCCTGTAATCCCAGTGGTTTGAAAGGCTGAAGCAGGAGGTTGTGAGTTCAAAGCTAGCCTCAGCAAAAATCAAGCTGCTAAGCAGCTCAATAAGAACCTGTCTCTAAATAAAATATACAGTAGGGCTGGGGATATGGTTCATTGGTCAATTGCCCCTGAGTTCAATCTCCAGTATTCAAAAAAATAAAAAAAGGGAATTTGTCAGTATAGAGTCATTTAAGAAACAATACCATGGGGCTGAGATTGGTAGAATGCTTACCTGACACTTTCGAGGCACTGAGTTCGATTCTCAGCATCACATAAAAATAAAGTATACAATTTGATTTTTAAAAAAGAAACAATAAAATGTATTAAGTAGATATACCTTTATTTTGATACACATATATATGTATATTCAAATTCCATAAAAATATTATTTTTATTTCAGTTAATTCCAATGTGAAGTATTTACTCTGCTTTACATTTGCAATTATCTATAATTATTTAACTCAACATTATTACCACAATCAATCTTAAAATTATGGTCTTTTCAAGAATCAAGCAAACATAGTTCCCCCAATAGTTCATAACATGTCACTAAATGTTTTCTGAATTGATAAATAAGTCAGAATTTAAACATGTATCTCTCAGTATCATGCTTTTTCTGAAGTACCAAAACACCATATTTAAGTCATAGATTTTTGGGATTATTTTGCTATTTATTAAACAATGTTGAATTTTACTTAAGGTAGACTAAAAAATGACGAAATCATAGAATTTGGAGGGAAATGGATGGCATTAGAGCAGATTATGCTAAGTGAAGCTAGCTAATCCCTAAAAAACAAATGCCAAATGTCAGCCTATTTATATCTCAGGCAGATAAGAGAATGATGCAGATTTTAAAGCAAAAGGAGCCCAACGTCTAGATGAATTAGAATCAGAAAGTAAAACAACAATGAAGTAGTTTTTAGGATCACTGTAAGTATTTAGAGTCTTGATGATGTCTATGATAAGTTCAGATATATTTTGTAAAGAATAATAATCTTTATAGGGAACATTTTACAAGGAATGCTTTCTAGAGATGTCACTTTTAGAATTACATCCAGAAAAAATGGTTAATGCAACTAAAATTTCAGAATTACATTTTTTTAAATTGAAATTCTCTTTTCCATCCCAGGCTTTAGAGGTTGGGGTTCGCAGTCACCCATATTATTGAGACTATTAATTTAAAATGTAATTGCAAATAATAATGGCTGTTTAAGACAGTTGCTCCAGTCCATTCTTCTCTTATACCTGAACAACTGTTCTGTTCTGTTCAGTTTAAGCTGTCAGTGTTGGAGGTGATACAGTTTTCAAAATTTTCATGGCATTCTAATCAATCTCTTTTGGGGTTTACTTCTTTAGATCAAAGTGGAACCTAAAAATCTCGTTGAAATAAGACGTTTACTGCCTTGAATTCCTGCTGAGATCAAAGGGACCAAATTCTAAAACTCCCTGGGAGATTTAGTGTTTCAGAAGATATTTGAAGTCCACATTCAGTTTTTTTAAAGGGCTTTTTGTGTGATGGAACAGGTTTTGTAATACTTTGGAGCTTTCTGAGGTCTTTAACAGATATAACAGGTATACTTTTGGTATTGTATCTAGACCATATTTTCCTGAATGTGCCATTAATTTGAACTATGTTTGGAAGTCATTTCATAAGTTAAGCATAATATGCTGTCCTCGGAGGCTGAGACTTTTCAAAACAATTAAATCCAGTATCCTTCTAACAGGCTGTCTCTCAATTTGTAGTTTATTTATTTCTGTCCTCTTGCATTTCATTGTGAGCAGCAGAAAGAAATCAGATACACCTTCAACCTAAGGAGATCTTAGCTAGATCGTCCAATTCATTAGATGTATTTTTTTTTTGCTATCGCAGTAGCTTCAGAGAACAAATATAACTTTCTCCAGTTCCCAATAACATGCTTCTCACTTCCTTCTTTCTTTTTTATCTACATTTTTATTGTGCATTATAGTTGTACATAACGGTGGGATTTGTTGTTACATACTAGTACATGTACACAATATAGCAATATAATTTGGTGGATATGCCTCCCAGCACTTTCCCCATCCCTCACATCTTCCCATCCCCAGTTTTTTTTCTCTAATCTATTGATCTCCCTTTGTGTTTCTTGTGATCACTTCCACCTTTCTTTTTCTTTTTTCCCTCTACCTTCAACATATGAGGGAAAACATATGATCCTTGACCTTCTGAATTTCACTTATTTTGCTTAACATAATGGTCTCAAGTTCCATCTATTTTCTTGAAAATGACATAATTTCATTTTCCTTTATGGCTGAATAAAACTCCATTGTGCATATATACCACATTTTCTTTGATTAATCTATCTGTTGGCTGGTTTCATAGTTTGGCTATTGTGAATTGTGTAGCTATAAACCTAGGCATGCAAGTAGAACTATAGTATGCTGATTTTAATTCTTTAGGATAAATACTGAGAATTAGTATAGCCAGATCACATGATGGTTCCATGCCTAGTCTTTTGAGGAACCTCCGTACTGATTTCTATAGTGGTTGTATTAATTTACAGTTCCACCAAGAGTGTAAAAGGGTTCATTTTTCTCCACATTTTCTATAGCATTTATTACTGTTTGTATTTTTGATGACTGCCATTCTGACAGGTGTGAGATGAAATCTCAGTGTAGTTTGATTTGTATTTTCCTAATTGCTTATGAAGTTGAACATTTTCATACATGTGTTGGGTATTTCTATTTCTTTTTTTTGAGAAATGCTTAATTATTTGACCATTTATTAGTTGAGGTTTTTATTGGTAAGTTTTTTGAGTTCTTTATATAGTCAAGATATTAATCCTCTGTCAAAAGGGTAGCTAGCAAAGATTTTCAAATCCCATTCTGTAGTTTCTCTCTTAAAATTCTTAATTATTTACATTGCTGTGCAGAATATTTTCAATATGATACCATCCCATTTATAAACTTTTGGCATTGTTTCCTGAGCTTTAGGGATCCTATTGAGAAAGTTATTGCCTATGCTTACATGCTGGCACATTGATGATACATTTTCTTCTAGGAGTTTCATAGTTTCTGGTCTAATACCCCAAGGTATTTTATCCATTTTGAGTTGATTTTTTGTGTTCTAGTCTCTTTCTTCTACATATGGTTAACCAGTTTGCCCAGCACTATTTGTTATAGAGGCTGACTCTTCTCTAATGCTTTTGGCACCTTTGTCAAGGATCAGATGATTGTAGATGTGTAGATTTGTCTATGGGTCTTCTATTCTGTACCATTGGTCTATGTGTCTGTTTTTTATCCCAGTACTATGATGTTTTTGTTACTATAGCTTTGTCATATAATTTGAAGTCAGGTATTACATTGCCTTCATCATTACACTTTGGATTAGAATTGCTTTGGCTATTTTGGGTCTTTTGTTATTCCAAAGGTATTTTTAGGACTATTTTTTTCTTTTTCTGTAAGAATGTCATTGATGTTTTGCTGGGGATTGCATTGAATGTGTATATTGCTTTTGGAGGTATAATATTAATTAACAATATCAATTCTGCCTATTTGTGAACATGGAAGGTCTTTCCATTGTCTTGTGTCTATTTCAATTTCTTTCTTAAGTGTTCTATAGTTTTCATTGTAGAAGTATTTCACCTTCTTGGTTAGATTTATTCCTAGGCATTTTTTTGAGGCTACTAAGAATGGAATTGTTTTTATGATTGCATCCTCACTTCCATATGACCAACTGTCCTTTAAGTCTCTATTTCTACTGAAAGTCTGTTCAAATAAATTTAGGATTTCTCTAACATGCTCTTTAATTGCTTTCCAACTGCTGCTCACTGACTTTTTTCAAAGCCATTTCTATATTTGAGACAGTGGCACCATAATTCCAGGACTCAAACTCTGCATTATTTATCTATTGCTGCATAAGAACAGATGCTTGATTTCCACTTCTATAAAATATTGTATTGGAGGTCCTAGTTAGGGAAGTAGGAATGAAAAAAGACAAAGACAATATGTTTGTGTATATAAAAATTTCACACACACACACACACACACAGGAAAATAAAAGGGCATATGGCAAGGTAATTACATATTGATTACGACAGTGTGCTATTGGTACAAGATAGCCAATTAGATCTGTGGAATGGAGAAGCACACACATAATTTTGTGATTTGTGACAAAAGAGAAAGAAGAAAAAAGAGGATTGCCTTTTTAGTAAATTTATCAGAATCAATTGCATATTTCTGTGGAAAAACAAAAGAAATTTTTTCCAATCTCACACAATCTATCCAAACTTAATTTGGATATATTATACATGTACTGTGAATGGTAATAATAAATAACATGTAACTGGCATCTATCATATAATTAAGGCTTTATCCTCTTTGAATTATCAATTTAGAGGCCTTGACATTGGCCCTAGGGTTGTGGAAGGTGTTGCAGTACCTCCAGATGTGGAGAGGCATCTTGAGTGGGGGAATCATCTATGGCCAGGAGGAAGGTTTCATCTGCTGTGTTTGCCTCAGCCTCTAAGGCCTCTCTGGAAAATCAGATGCAGTGGTGGAGGCAGAGGTTAGAGGGCTGTGGAGTTAGCCCCTGTGTTTATGGAAGTTGTGGTGATGGAAGCAGCAGTTCTGAAGATGATTGCAAAGCTGTCACAGATGCTGGGGCACTTGTAGTGGAGGCAGATTTTGTGCATATAATAGCTGATGTAGAGTTAGTGGCTGATGTTATGAATGCTATAGTGGCAGTCATTGAGAAATATAGTTTTCTTTTGCCTTGGTTGTTGCACAAGATCCCCAAGTTACAGTAGCTGTTGAACTAGTTGTGGTAAATGACAGAGAGTTCGCTTTTGGATATAAAACTATTGATAGTGACTAAATTTAGTAGTAACTCCAGGGATAGTAGTGATTGTACTGATTGGGTATCAGTTGTAATGTTCTCAAGGCCTGTTGGCCTTGTCAGAGATTTTTGACTTATGAGAATGTGATTTGTAGGTCCTGATTGTTTATGAGGCAGAAATTCGCCAAGTAGGAGTTGATGAGTTTGCTGCAAAAGCTGTTATCGTCATGTGACATTTTCATTGGTATTTATGTAAAATAGCATTTCTTTTATTATTATGGTTAATATTGAGAGTAATGAAGTTTTAAGGATCAGAATTAAAATGAAAATGTTGTGTTAAAGAAATAATGTTGTCTTTTGTAAATAAGTAGTGATCAGGCTAATGGATTATGAAAGGAATCTGGGCCAATCTCTTTAACAACCTTATAGAATTTGAGATGTAAACCTTCTTAAGCAATTCAGTATGTTTTGAAATCTATTTTAGAGAAATCAATTTGAATTGCTTAGCAAAGCCAATTTGAATTGGTGAAATTTTTCTACTGTGACCAAGGAAGTTTGCAGTTTATTTTTAGTCTCTACGTTGCTAATTGATTATAAGATATTTACATCATATGCATATGACAGACCAAATAGAGTGGAAAAGAGATTATTATCATAAGGCCATGTAAGTATATGAACCTCAAAGTTAATATTATGGTCAAATGATAATATATTAAGAAGTAATTTGTTTAGAAGTCAATTCAAGACTCTTAATTATAACAAAAAAATATAATTACTGCTTTTCAATTGAGTCAAAACCTTGTATGAGGCTACAATGTTGTGGAAACAATTGTCTATAAAACGAAAGAAGAAGTGCCCAAACTTGAAGAATGGAGAGTGTCTATGTGAATTTGCACATATTGTTGAAGAATAATAGAGAATATAGGAATTGTGAAAACTATGCCATCTTACAAAAATTATATAATGCTAATTATATGATGCTAATTTATTATGAAGAATCATAATAAAATTATTTGATAAGTCTTTCAGGAGATATTAAAAAACAAAACATAATACTTAAACTTAATGGTCTCAATCTCAGAAAAGCAATTAATAATCTGGTTATGTAATGTGAGTTTGGCTATTCCTGCTGGTGAAACTACTGTGTACTTTATGTTTGAGTGGAAAAATTGATTATTTCTCTCTGTTTTAAAGACAGAACCAAATGAAATACAAGCAAACAAGTTTGAGACGTAAACCTTAACAGTCCTGGGAGGACATCAGTGTTTGATGCTTGAATGAGGGGAAGGAAGCACAGCTGTGTTAACTGCTTTCACAAATTTAATCTTAGACCTCCAAACCTGGTGAGAGAATATTTCAAGTCTTCTTCGTGTTTCTGTCCTGCTAGTCCTTTAAACTTTCTAAATATTTAACCTTGATTCTTATGTTCAATCCTTTTTATCTTCTACCCACAGAAACAGCAGATCTTCATGTTCTTATGATGCAGAAAGAAGTAATTATTACTTTAATAAGAAGTTTCTACCTCAGTCCAGTTTGTTAAATCCCAGTACCATTTTTTTCCACTTCAAAATCTATTTATTATATCATATATTCCTTAATATTGGGGGATTCTAGGTTTCCAGTGTACGGAATCTTTACCCAAAACAAGTGACAACAATCAGGATCCACTCAATAGATGTTCAAACTTTCATCTTGTCCTGGTAACTCCTGTAAGTTTCCAAACAAAAATTTTACAGCAGTGTTTTGGTACTTGCATAATTTACTCCCTTGATCTTTTTGTAGTATTGAACAAATCAATGTATGAAAATATTCAAGGAAAAACTTCAGATAAAAATTCTTTCATCTGCTTAAAATACATTGAAACATTCTTAAAATAGTTTTTTTTAAAGAGAGAGAGAATTTTAAAAAATATTTATTTTTTAGTTTTTCGGTGGACACGACATCTTTGTTTGTATGTGGTGCTGAGGATTAAACCCGGGCTGCACGCATGCATGACAGGCGAGCACGCTATCGCTTGAGCCACATCCCCAGCCCTTAAAAATAGTTTTATTTAACCAAAAATACAGGAACATTTTATTGTCCTTTATTTGAAGTTGAATATGAGAATTACTTTATTTACCATTACTTCAGAGCCTTCTGAGTATATTTACAATTATATGAAGCTTATTTTGCCTGGTTATTATTATTTTTTATTTAAGTCAATTATCATTTTGACATAGATGTATACTGTTACAAGCCAAGACAGATAGTAGACACTGTGCCTAAGGAAATGTAGGTGTAAATATTTATTACTGTATTTGAAAATTCATGGTAGTAATTATGGTAAAGCAGTTCTTATATGGTAAACAGAGTTATCCTTAGAATACATCTGTGTTTAAATCCTATCTGCCACTTAGTAGCTATTTGACTTTAGAGAGATCATTTAATCTCATCTGTGAAAAAAGGAAAACACTTTTTTTCAGTCCAGAAATATAGGATATTGTTAGTTTTAAATTAAAATGTTTGTACATAAACTACATTGTAGTTTTCAAATCTGATCAACAAATTAGAACCTATATTGAAATAATAACTGCTTACCTTAAGTGAAAAATATTGATTGAAATGAAAAATATTGATTATAACAATGAAACAATCAATGAAAAATATTGATTGTAATGTTAAATTTCATATTTATACCATTTATTATAATAAAGCCCTTTATTCATTAAAGAATATTTAATAACTATTGGTTTTTAGGTTCTATACTCGTACTGAAGATACATTGATTAATAATAATAACTTTATTAATAAGAATTCAGATGAAAAAGAATGATCCTTTTTTTCTGGTAGACCCCTTTTAGTAAGTCCAACATATTTCAACTGAGAAATTTCTTCTTTCAATATTCTTCTACTCCACCTTTTCTTCAAAGTGGATTATGAATTGGATACCTGTTGGATAATCAATGTCATATAGTCAATGTGCCAGTTGCAGAACAATACATAATGCTAGCTTTTCATGAGATTTGAGGTCATCATTTTTAAATCATAAAGGCCTCATACACTCAAGACCGCTACACTGATTTAATTCATAATGTGATTTGCTTTCTTTCCAAAATAAGTTTTCCGTTTGCTTCAGAACAATAATCACTATATTCCCTTCATGAAGTTTAAAATTATAGTTTTGGTAGTTAGATATGGGGACATACCCAAGGGCGGTTTATGGTGAAATAATTCTTGTCATTACACATTAGAAACAGTGAGGTTTTTTTTTTTTTTGAGCAACTTTCTTTTCTTTTTTATTGTTGTTGAACAACTTTCTGAGAAAAAGTTTTTGATTTGAGTTATCTAGTCTCTGAAATAAGAATGCTTCCCCCTCTTGATATCAATGTTCGTGAAAGAAATTATCTTCTGTTAAAATTATATGTTTACTTATTTTAAAAATATTTTTCCCAGTGTTAACACAAAGAGATTCTCTCTTAAAGAGAACAAACTTAATTTTGCAAATAAATATAATTAAAATGATAACTTATGGTTTTATTTTGAAGCTTCTTAATGTCAGGATGTCCTAGGACTTGGTGTTTGACCTGTTCTCTATCAACAATCATTCTGTTGTGATTGCATCTGGATTTCATAGTTTTAAATGTCATTTCCATGCAATGAACTCTTTAATGTATAACCTCACTGTTCTTGAACTGTTCCTTATAGTCTAGACTATCATATCTGTTTGCTTGCTATTGCCATTTAAATCACCAAATAAACATCACAAATTCCATAGTTCAAAATGGAACTCCTAATTTTCCTTACTCTATAATCAATACTATAGGCTTCTCCATTCTCTGAGTTTTTTTCAGTCCCAAAGCTATAATTATTGTGATCTTCTTTTTCTCTTACCCTTCATATCTAGTCCTTCCTGATATCCTTTAAAAAATATACAGGATTCTACCTTTTTCAACTTCCTCTTCCAAGCCATCATCTCTCTCCTAGCTTAATTTTAATGGCCTTTTAACTAATCTTTGCCAGACTAAGGCCTCATAGCAAGTGTTTGATGGTTTCAGGCCCAATCATCCCAAGATTAACATTTGCTATTGGCCCTTTAGGGCTTTCTCAAATTAACAGTTGGGATATAAAATGCACTGTAAGATCTCTATAGACAAATATCTGTGCATGGAATGTGTACTGCCTCCATTTATTTCACATCTAGGGATTTATCCCATGGAAAGAATTGTGTGTCTTGGCAATGTGTATCATAGAACTGTTTATAATAAAGAAAAAAAAAGGGTGAGTGGGTGGGAAATCTGCCTGCCCCCTATAAAAAATTATATATATATATATATATATATGTACACACACACACACACACACACATATATATATATATTATATTATATTTTACTGCAATAATAACATGAAGCCTTCCTGCATAATGCTGTCTAATGACATGGAAATTGTTGCTCTATAACAGTATTTCCCCCACTCTGGGTAGAAGAACAATTTTGTTTTTGCTTTTCTCTTTTTGTTTTATTTTTTAAAATTTCAAAATAAACTTGAATCACTCTTCTAAGAATATTTAAAAATTAAAATATAAATGACACAAAAAAGATAATTTTAGTTTAACCCAGTTATTTAAATTTACTTCATTCAAAGATTAATTTGCTTTCAGAAAGTTATACTGATGGTTGATAATTACTTTTCAGAAACTTGAAAAATACATTGACAAAATGTGGGTAAAAGTTTCCTGGTTCTAAAAATATATCATATTCAAATTGATGATAAGGAGCTACTGAGAAATATTCATCAAATAACAAAATGCTTGATTGAGTTTGAACAAGACCTGAAAGAAAGATAAAAATAATTCCTAATTAATTTTTAAAATATTTCCTTATGATTTTATAGTACTTATCTAATTTCCTTTAGAGAGTTCAGTATCTATAATTTATTTGTCTCCTTTCAGAATTGTAAGATGTTTAGGTCAAAAATTATAATATTTAAGTGCATATGTTACTATTTTATAAGTTTATAAATTAGGAAATACCAATATAATTTATAATTATAAAACAAAAAATAAAATAAAATTCTTTTATTTCCATTCCTGAAAAAGAAAACCAACTTATAATGTGTTTTATATGTATTTTTAATCCTCACTACCTTCTTCCTACCCACCTAAATAAAATGTTTTAATACTTTCAATAATTTCTCATTTATTGAAGAACTTGTGACTTTCGAATGATAACAGATTTTTCAAATGCAGAATGTGTTAAATCTTTCATTATTTATTCAATATTAATTACTATTTTTATTCTGAAAGCATTCTGTGAGCTATATAAAAGAATCATGGAAACTTGAACTAGTTATTTGCCTTTTTCCCCAGGAAGATAGTCTCTGATGCAATGTCACTGTATTAGAAACAATTCTTATTTACTGATTTTATTTTTATAAAATGAAAAGGCTATTTAAAACCTAAATTGATATTAGAATGTGGTTTTAGTTGGACGCTGAGGTTGAACATTAGTGCTGGTTAGGGGTCAGACCCACAGACTACATAGCCATACATACCTGCATTTAGTCATTTAGTCGCTGTCCTCCCCAAGCGCGCCCCCCTCCCCTCCCCCAGCCTATCAGTGGTGTGATCTCAAACAAACCATTTACCTTTTCCAGGCTTGATTTTCTCTGTGAATTGGGAATACCAATGATTCTTATTGCACAGGAATGCTGTAAGGACTTAATGTATGGGAAGTAGTTACCTCAGTAGAGGTACAATAAGTACTACAGAGTTATTACTATTGTTGATGAAAGTAATAGTTTCAGAAGTAACATCAGTTTCTATTCATATGTTCTATTATTAAGGTTCGGAGAACAGGGGAACCTTGAAATAATGCCCCTTCCCACAAATAAATATAAAAGTATATTGACAAATGAAGTCGAAGATTAAGGTAGATTTTGTTATGTAGTGTAAATTGACATATACTTGAAGTCCTTTATGGCATTTCTTCAAGTGATTCATCTATAAAGTATCTTTTAAAAATGAGTCCACCTAAGCAACTTAGCAAGGCACTGTCTCAAAATTTAATAAATAAATAAATAAATAAATAAATAAATAAAAAGGGCTGGGGATGTGGCTCAGTGGTTAAGAGCCCCTGGGTTCATTTCCTGGTACCAAAAACAAACAAAAAATCCAAAAGTATTTCTGTATACACCAATAGAAAATTACAATAAATTATTTGGTGTGACACTGATCAATGGAGAATTTCAATGGCAAATTATTTTTTGGTTAATTGCAGCGGTGCTATAATTTGTTTCCCTTTCATGGTCCGTCCCTGACGTTCTTTGCCAGGCCTTTTTTCAAACCATTTTTGCAACATTAACTGCAGACATGATATTGAAATTGAGACTGCCATTTTGGTTTCAAAGAATTCGTGATCGCTATTACAAATTTCTTCACGTATTTTCTCAGTACTACACAAGGGAAGTGTGATGTGTGGATATCAAGGACTGACGACCATTTCTATTAACAATGTTCCAGGCAGAAAAGAGACTGCAGCGGCACAGTCTGAGCCCCGCGGGGGAACTGGGCAGCACAGTAGCTGCGGGAAGGACTTCCACCCAGGACGCAGCGGCCAAGCCCCTGCAGCCTGGAAGCCTGCCACCTGTTTTCCGCAAGGCCACCCGCTGACTATGGAAGAGCCACATTCCCTGGCGCAATTTTAATGTAGAAAGACACATTTAGAAATAAAGTGGTGTCAGTGCTCAGGCTTGGAAGTAAGTCTGTTGGGATTTCATTTCTCTCTGTGGTTTCTCTTCCCTGATTTCACTTTCTTCATTTTCATAGGCTTGTTTTAAGTATTAAAGGGTAAAATCAATCTGAAGTGCTTAGCACATTGCCTGGAACATAGCTAAGTAGTGAATACTCGTTAAGTGCTTTTATGATGATTATTAGAAATGCGATTTTATTATAATGGCTTGAGGAATGTGTTCAAGATCCAGAGTAACAAAAATTAGATAATATTCAAGGGTAGCATGATCATGCTGAAAGCATCATCTCAATGGAATATTTTTCTAATTCAGTGCATAAGAATTTCAGGTGGCATTTAATTTACACAAAGTACCACAGTTTATTCAAGTACCAGAATGATGATTTTAGAATCTTTAGAGAATGCAATATATTTATGTGAAGTCATGTAGTGTTTTAGAAAATTATATATTGGCACTATTCATACTCCCAAGTTTACTTTTTTTTTTTTTAACTCAAAGATATTTGTGGTTATTGGAAAGTCAGTAACTCAGAGTGGCTCTTCCAGTCACTGAAAATATCATGAGGTTTATTCTCTGAATATAAGAAATATTCTCTAGCTTATTTTTCATTACGCATTGTCTTCAACTTCAGTAAAGGAAAGGATCTCTTGTTTACTGACTTGACAGACCTCTTCTAGTTATTTTTAACATATTTTTACCAAATATTACATATTTTACATGTTGGTTCTTCTCTTTCTCAAAGTAACTCATGGTCATGCTAGCAAATTACAAAACGAAAAATTGAAATTGTAAAAAATTCACTTATCACATAACTTTGATAATTTCCTTAGACTTAGTAGGCCAACTAATTATATTTAAATTTTAATTGCTTTGATTATGCAATATTGTCCAATTTTTCACATCCCAAATGTTACATATACATTCAATTCTATTAGATATTAACTCTTTATAAACATATTTTAATAATTCATAATGGTACCAGGATTATACCTGTCACAGGACAGGTTCTTTTTCATTGTTCAATTAGTAGATTGTTTTTAATTTCTCATTGTAAATAATTTGAAATGAATATATTATTCCTTATTTTCTTCCTTCCTTTAGTAGTATATTTTCTGTATACTTTTATTCCACATTTTTCATCGCTATCTTTATTCTTATCCATGATTAAAATATATTAGTTTATAATATTACTATGATTTTTCTATTTCTTTTGCTTCTTTGTGGGGTAATTTGTGCTGAAGTAGCTAAACTGTTCCTAAGCATAAGATGGATTTCAAACACCCCAAATCTGAAATCTTTGAGGATGACTAGAGAGAGCTTTAGAATCAATCAGCTATGTTGTTTATGTTTAAAATCCTCTAAAGAGGGAGCCCTCTAATGATTTTCTCATGACTCTGGTGGGAAGGAAGCAAAATATGTAATTTAGTATTTAAAATAATGATTTGAAATCTAGCATTTTTTTAACCTATCATAGTGAACAAATAGTGACTCTACCTATTTGAATTCTAAGGTGAGTATAGCTAAATAGGGTAAAATCTTGCTCTAAACATTTTTAGCTATTCACCATTCCTGGTTAAAAATAAACTCCATTTATTTATAAATTATGCACATATATCATTTAAAGTATACAGTTTTTCCTTCATATCCATGAATTTTTCACCTCTCACGAGTAGAAAATATTAGAAAAAAATTGCAGCTGTGCTAAATATGTTCAGACTGTCTTTTCTTGTCATTTTCTGCTATAGAGTATAAAAACTACTTATATAGCATTGCCATTATATTAGGTATTATAAGTAATCTAGAGATAAATTAATGTATATAGGAGAATGTTTGTAGGTTATATACAAATATTACACCATTTTATATAAGGGACTTGAGCATCTGCTGATTTTGGTATCTGCAGGTGGTCCTGAAAGCAGTGCTCTGAGGGACAACTGTAGTGTGTACACTAAATTAAAGCAAATAGAGAAATTTAGAGGATGGAATAAAAATATATCTTAGGTTTAATGCTTTCTTCATGGATCCCATCTCCTCATAGGAGTTCTGGCATAAACATTGGTTTCAGTTTTTTTTCAAGGTTTTTCTATATTTTTTCTTTCTTTTCTTTTTCCCCGCCCAGAGCTGGGGATCAGACCCCAGGCCTTGCACATGCTAGGTGAATACTGTACCACTGAGCTCTACCCAGATCCCCATTTTATTCCATTTTGAAATAAAGGTGTTACAACTGAATGAGGTTACTTTATGAGCTACTGATAATATTTGAGTACATCTGTATCTTGAATTCGTAAATTGAATTAGCAGACATTTTTCCTTGTAAATTATTTGTGATAATCCCCAGAACAATTCTTAACTATTTTTATATGCAAAATAATTTATACCACATATTTCTTGAAAGAAATCCAAAACACTAAATGATAAACACAGCAAATATAAATGTAACAAAAAGTGTTAGAGGCCAAAAACAGAGCTAAAGAGACATAAATGCCTTTGCCATAGAATAGAACATCTCAGGAAATGGAGATGTCAGTTAGTAGTGTAAGTCTCCTGTAAACTATTGACTTTTCCTAATGCAATACTTCAGTTTGTTTTTACATATCAAATGTGTCCAAAAAGGTTTACTTGAAAATTTGTGTCTGTCTGGGTATATAACATGCTTATATAGTTGTCCCAATTGCCACTTCTGATTCTATTCTGTAAAAGTGTGTGTGTTATTAAGAGAAATAATATAAAGAACAAATGCATATCAAATGTCACTGTATTTCTCCTGTAGGGAATATTTAAATTTAAATACTAAATGATCACATAGTTGTCCATTTTTTTCTCTCTCCTAAGAAAATAAAAGTAGGAGGAATAGAACATGTTCTTGGTTTCCTCATCAAATGAAGAGTCAACTAAGTATTCTCAATGAATCTGAAAACCACAGCTTATTCCTTTGACTTCCAAGATCGTAAACACTTTATCTCTGCACTTAATATCAGAGTGTTTGAAAAATCTTTTTTTTTTTCAAACAAGCATGGAACTGGGATTTGAACCCAGGGCCTGGTGTTTTGCTAGGGAAATTCTCTACCACTGAGCTATATCCTCAACCCTTACTTGAGACAGGTCTCACTAAGTAGCCCAGTCTGGCCTCAAACATATGATCTTCTGTTGATTATTATTTTTTAGGTCGAACATCTGATGAAATCTCTCAACATAAAAGAGGTTCTTATATTTTGAGGCCTCTGTGTATGGTCAGGTTAGTATTTCCTTTCCTTATTGCTTTTATACCCTACCATAATTAAATTACACTATATTTCGTTGATGTCTTATAGTTTTGTCTACTATTAAGTAAACTGCTTTAATATGTGTTTCATAGATTTATATGGAGATATTTTGACTCCTGCCTATTTCCTTTTTTATCTTCTATGTCTATTTTGTCATTACTTTGGGATTATATAAAAGTACTTAAAAATAGTAGAAAGAATTGAAAATAACTTTCTGATGTTCATAAATACACAACTAGTGTAACTCCATATGCTACACAACCACAAGAATGGGTAGTTATACTTCATGTATGTTTGATATGTGAAGATACATTCTACTGTCATATGTAACTTGAAACAACAAATAAAAAATTAAAATACTTAAAAAATTACACTATATTAAAAACATTTTTTTACATATTTGTTGATTGACTGCCTATCTTCTTCTGAGAATTGTCTGTTCAGTTTCTTCACCCATTTATTGATTGGAGTGTTAAGGTTTTTGAGTTCTTCATATTCTAGAGATTAGTGTTAGATCTGACATGCCTGTGATAAGAATTTATTCCCAATTAGTAGGCTCTGTATCTCATTGATTGTTTCTTTTTCTGAGAAGAAACTTTTTAATTTGAATCCATCCCATTTATTGATTATTGATATTAATTCTTGCACAATAGGTGTGTCTTATTAAGGAAGTTGGGGCCCAATCTGATATAATGGAGATTTGGGCTAGTTTTTCTTCTAATAGACACAGTGTCTTTGGTTTAATTCCTAGGTCCTTGATCCACTCAGAATTGAGTTTTGTGCATGGTGAGAGATAGGGGTTTAATTTCATTTTGTTCTATATGAATTTCCAGTTTTCCCAGCATCATTTGTTGAAGGAGGAGGTATCTTTTCTCCATTGTATGTTTTTGGCACCTTTCTCTAATATAAGATAATTGTAATTATGTAGGTTTGTCTTTGTGTCCTCTATTCTATACCATTGGTCTACAAGTCTATTTTGGTGTCAATACCATGCTATTTTTGTTACTATTGCTCTGTAGTATAGTTTAAGGTCTGGTATAGTGATGCCACCTGCTTCACTCTTCTTGCTAAGGATCACTTTAGGTATTCTGGATCTCTTATTTTTCCAGTTGCATTTCATGACTACTTTTTCTATTTCTATGAGGAATATCATTGAGATTTTGATTGGAATTGCATTAAGTCTGTATAGTGCTTTTTGGTAGTATGGTCATTTTGACAATATCAATTCTGCCTATCCAAGAGCAAAGTAGCTCTTTCCATTTTCTAAGATCTTCTTTATTTTTTTCTTTAGCATTCTGTAGTTTCATTGTACAGAACTTTCATCTCTTTCATTAAGTTGATTCCCAAGTATTTTATTTTATTTTTTGATGCTATTGTAAATGGGGGTAGTTTTCCTCATTTCCCTTTCAGATGATTTGTCACCGATATACAGATTTATGGGTGTTGATTTTGTATCCTGCTACTTTGCTGAATTCATTTACTAGTTCTAGAAGTTTTCTGGTGGAATGTTTTGGGTCTTCTAGGTATAGAATCATATCATCGACAAATAGTGCTAATTTGAGTTCTTGTTTACTTTATCCATATCCCTTTAATTTCTTTAGTCTGTCTAATTGCTCTGGCCTGTGTTTCAAGAAGTATGTTAAACCAAATTGGTGAAAGGGGGCATCCCTGTCTTGTTCCAGTTTTTAGAGGGAGTACTTTCAATTTTTCTCCATTTAGAATGATGTTGGCCTGGGGCTTAGCATAGATAGCCTTTATGATGTTGAGATATATTCCTGTTATCCCAAGTTTTTCTAGTGTTTTGAACATAAAGAGGTGCTGTATTTTGTCAAATGCTTTTTCTGCATCTATTGAGATGATCTTATGACTCTTATCTTTAAGTCTATTGATGTTATGGATTAAATTTATTGATTTCTGTATGTTGAGCTGCCCTGACATCACTGGAATGAATCCCACTTGATCATGGTGCATGATCTTTTTGATATGTTTTTGTATTCGATTTGCCATAATTTTATTGAGAATTTTTGCATCTATGTTCATTAGAGATATTGGTCTGAAGTTTTCTTTTTTTGATGTGTTTTTGCCTGGTTTTGGAATCAGAGTGATATTGGTCTCATAGAATGAGTTTGGGAGTGCTGCCTCTTTTTCTATTTCCTGAAATAAATTGAAGAGTATTGGTATTAGTTCTCCTTTAAAGATCTTGTAAAACTTGGCTGTGTATCCATCCAGTCCTGGGATTTTCTTGGTTGGAAGGCTTCTGATGGCATCTTCTATTTTGTTGCTTGAAATTGATCTGTTTAAATTTTGTATATCATCCTGATTCAATTTGGGCAAATCATATGACTCTAGAAATTTGTTGATGCCTTCGATATTTTCTATTTTATTGGAGTACAAGTTTTCAAAATATTTTCTAATTATCTTCTGTATTCCTGTGGTGTCTGTTGTGATATTTTCTTTTTCATCAAGTATGTTAGTAATTTGAGTTTTCTCCCTCCTTCTCTCTTTTAGCATGGCTAATGGTCTGTCAATTTTATTTGCTTTTTCAAAGAGCCAACTTTTTTTTTTGTCAATTTTTTCAGTTGTTTCTTTTGTTTTCATTTCATTGATTTCAGCTCTGATTTTAATTATTTCCTGTCTTCTACTGCTTTTAGTGTGGATTTCTTCTTCTTTTTCTAGGGCTTTGAGATGTAATGTTAAGTCATTTATTTGTTGACCTTTTTTTCTTCTTTTAAGGAATGAACTCCATGCAATGAACTTTCCTCTTAGAACTGCCTTCATAGTGTCCCAGAGATTTCGATATGTTGTATCTGTGTTCTCATTCACCTCTAAAATTTTTTTATTCTCTCCTTGATGTCTTCTGAAACCAATTGTTTATTCAGTAATGTAGTATTTAGTCTCCAGGTGTTCGAGTAGCTTTTATTTCTTCTTTTATCATTGATTTCTAATTTCATTCCATTATGATCTGAAAGAATGCAGGGTAGTATCTCTACTTTTTTATATTTGCTAAGAGTTGCTTTGTGGCATAATATATGGTCTATCTTAGAGAAGGATCCATATGCTGCTTAGAAGAAAATATATTTGCTTGTTTAAGGATGAAATATTTCTATATATGTCAGTTAAGTCTAAGATATTGATTATATTATTGAGTTCTAGAGTTTATTTGCTAAACTTTTGTTTGGAAGATTTATCCAGTGGTGAAAGAGGCATGTTAAAGTCACCCAGGTGTTGGTGGGGTGAAATCGGATGTACCTGGGCCTGGGTCCTGGGTATGTTTGTGTGGGTGAATCTGGGCTGGGCCTGAGCCCCTAGGGTGGTCTGCTTGTCAGAAGAGGCAGTCCTGTGCTGGAGCCTGAGCTCCAGCAGATGTCTGCCTGTTGCATAATAATTTTTTTAAAGCAACAAAGCATGCATTATCCTAGGGCAAAAACAGAGATGTTTTACTATAACATGGTTTTCTGCCATATAGTTGATGTGATGCCTTTACTTTTTTCTAAATGCAAAGACAATTCCAGGTTTAAATGCACTAAAAACTTATCAATAATAAGGTAGTGAGGTGACCATAGTTAAGATGGGGACCTTCATTTTGATTCATGGACCCTAGCAAAAATACATTATTATATACATATATATGTATGGGAATCAGTACTAATAATGTAGTGATGGATGAATATGTTATTCATAATTATGTTAGTATACATTGAGACTTCTCATTCAGCAACACTATTATGGAATTATTTACTGATAAGAGTTTTCTGCACCCTTTATAAATGCCTTATAATATGAGCATAATTCAGAGTGATTATTAGGGTTAACAACTTAGAGTTTTTTAATTATAAGAATAAATAAAAAAGTGATTTTTTAAAAAGGAACTTTTATTTAAAATAGCAATCTATACTTTTAGGGTATTAAAGGAATAATATAGCCAATTCTTTCTGGAAACAGGCATTGAAGGTGACACCCACCTTATAACCAGAAACTATCTTGGGCAGAGAGAAGCATTTGTTTATAGAAAGTTTTACTCAGCATAGATGCTTGTTTTATTATTTTTTGCTGACTATGAATAAATAAGTTTGTTACATTAAAGGGAGCACAGCTGCAGAGAGCAATTAAGCAGTTTCACTGGAGGAGAAAATGGAAGTATCCATTCTTGTTAGCTAGTGGATCCACTTGCAATATATAGCCACTAGATCCAAGAAAACCATGGCCAGAATTATGGTTACATGGTATAAAGGAGAGTTTAGAAGCCATCTATTATGCTGTATTTTGATCAATGAGCACACAAAAAATGCATTTAAATATACACGTGAGGGGGAAGGACAGTAGAATGAATCAGATGTAACTTTCCTATGTTCATATATGAATACACAATCAGTGTAACTATACTTCATGTGCAACCACAGAGTGAGAAGTTATACTCCATATATGTATGGTATGGCAAAATACATTCTACTCTCATGTATAACTAAAAAGAACAAATAAACAAATAAAAATAAATAAATTACACATGGACATTTCATTGGTTACCTTACCTGTTGTTCTTCAGTACGTTGTTAACAAAATTCAGATAATGAATTGTTAAGCTGTCATTTTATTTAAAATTCAACACACTTTTAAGCAATTTTCATATGTAAGAGATTGATTAGTGCTATGTGAGACTTATAGATAAGAAGACAGAACTGTGCTGTAGCATTTAAAACGTGGAGAAAATATGTCAACATATTATATTAGGCAAAATAGGACAACAGTGAAATGCACCCAAAATATGGCTTATGCATACATTATTTCATTGAGTCTTCTCCACAAACGTTGGTACACATTGTTATCTCGCTGTTACAGATGGGATCAGAGAGGTTAAGGGGTGATGTCAGCTAATTTTGCCAAAAGTCACATTGTTGATAGATAATAATAAATAGCCTAGGTTCAAAAATCACACAGATTTTATGACTCCAAAAATTTTCTCTGCCCACTGTACTTGGCAAACTCAGTTACTACTGGAGTATAGAGTATGGGGAAGAAGTATCAGTAAATATAACCTCAAAGATGAGGTAGAAGCAGACTGTAGATACTTGGAATGCCATATAAACATATTTTTACCATTCTTGTTTCCACATATACAAGATGAAGATCAATAGTAAATTACTTTAAGAGATAATTGATGAAGATGAAGAAGTTGACAAGTGAAAGCATTTTATACATCTTAAAGTTTTACATAAATACTTGCTATATAACTTAATGCTGAATTCTGTAGTAACTTAGGATTTTCCAATATGTGTATTTTTCAGGACTGAGTAATCAAGTGGTTGTTAAAAATTTCCTGGACTTTGAGGTCCTGAAAGTAGGGAGCAAACATGCTGATTTCACATAGTGAACCCTGGGCAAGTAACTGATGAGTGAATGACTACATATGAATCTTCTATCAGATTTATTTTTTATCCTAGAGATTTAATTTCTCATGCATCACAAATTACCTCCACTTGTTTGGACACTTGTGTTTCAAGTAATTTATTCATGTTCAAAATAAGCAACTCATCAGTGTATTTTGTTTACATGTAAAAATAGCAGCTTTCTCCCCCCGCCCCCATAGACTCTTTATTAGTTCATCCCTTGATGGACACTTAGGGTGTTTGCATGTTGTGACTATTGTGAATAATACTGCTACAGCTATTTTTACAGTGTTCCTTTCATTCCTTTGGGCATATGCCCACCAGAGGGCTTTTCGGGGAGTATGAGAGTTCTATTTTTACTTCTTTCTTCCCTCCCACTCTCTCTCTTTTCTTTTCTCCTCCTCTTCCTCCTCTTCCTCCTCCTCCTCCTCCTCCTCCTCCTCCTCCTTCTTCTTCCTCCTTCTTCTTCCTTCTTCTTCTCCTCTCTTTTCTGGTGCCAGGGATTGAATCTAGGACTGCTTTACTACTGAACTACATCCCTAGCCCTTTCTACCTTTGTATTTTGAGAGGGTCTCCCTAAGTTGCTGAAGGTCTCCCTAAATTGTTGAGGCTGGCCTCTACTTGTGATCTTGCAGTTTCAGCCTCCTTGAGATTCTGGGATTACAAGTGTGTGCCAACTGTAGCCAGCTATATTTTATATGTTTTAGGAATCTCCATACTTTTTTTTTTCCGCCATGATTGCATCAACCAACAGTGTGCAAGGTTTTCATTTTGCCATATCCTTGATAGTACTTTTTATCACTTGTCTTTTTGACAATAGCTGTTCTAATGTGTGCAAGGTGATATCCAATTATGGTTTTGATTTTCAACGCCCTGATGGCTAGTGATATTAATCATCTTTTCAAATACTTGTCCACTACTTTTATGTCTTCATTGGAGAAATATCTTTTATGCCCTTTGCCTATTTTTTTAAAAATCAGGTTGTTTTTCTGCTATTGAGTTTTGTTCTTTATATATTTTGGATATTAACCATTTGTCAGATATGTGACAAATATTTTCTCCCAATATGCTGACTTCCTCTTTATTATGTTGATTATTTTCTTTGCTGTGGCAGAAATTCCATTTATTAATTTTTGCTTTTGCAGCCAGAGTTTTTAGTGTGATACCCAGAAAGACGATACCAAAATCAATGTGAAGGAGTTTTCCCTAATGTATTCTAGGAATTTTGTGGTTTCAGGTCTTATGTTTAGGTATTTTATTCATTCTGGATTGATTTTTGTGTATGGTATAAGATACAGGTTAAATTTCATTCTTTCGCATATGGATATCCAGTTTTCCCAGCACCATTTCTGAAGAAGCTGGTTTTTTTCACTGCTGTTCTCCTTTGGTGTTCTTGTTGAAAATTAGTTGACTGTATATGCCTGGGCTTATTTCTTTTTTTTTTTTTTTATTCTGTTCCACTGGACTGTTTGTTTTTAAGAAACACAGGCTTCAAAGCAGGATTATATAAGTTCAGATTTCAATAGTACTTGGGGAAAATTACTTCATTTCTCTTTATAACAACAACATGTAATCCATGAGTACATTTTAAATGAATAAATGCATATAAACAAATAGAAGATTGACTAGCATATAATATGTATAACCACTGATTGATTCCTTATTATTAAGTATTTTTGTTGTTCATTTCTCTATGATAGATAATTTTTGTAATACCTGATATATAGTAGGTGACACTTTTAAAATTAATAAGATATTTTACCACTTTCTTATGTTACTTTGCTTTTTCAGAAATTGATAATATTTTTAGGGGTCATGCCATATTCCTGACCATGCATCTCTCTCAAATTTTAGCATTTGATGAGTGAGAGAGCAGGTAGAAGACAAAGGGAAATGAAGGGAAGGGAGCAGGGAGGGGAATAGCAAGGACAGTAGAATTAATCAGACATAACTTTCCTATCCTTCTATTTGAATACATTATCAAGGTATTGTTTACAACCACAAGAATTAGAATAAGCTGAACTCCATATGTGTATAATATACCAAAATACATTCTACTGTCATATATATATATATATATATAACAAATTAAAAAATAAAATAAAAAAGACCATAAATTACTTCTAATCATAGCACATCTGTTCAAGATTATAGGAACAGATTAGATGGATGGCATATAAGCACTTTGTAAGAGCTGAGTGATTTATATTTTTCCTGGAATGATGTGTTAAATATAGACCTGCTATTTTCCTTGCAGCATTTGTTTAAGGGAAAAATCTTGTCATATCTTTAGACTTTGAATATTCATCTTTTTTTCCCCCCATACATAAGAACCTCTAATCGAGAAGCTTCCTTTTATGGTGGTAGTGGTAGTGTGTGTGTATTTGGACAAGAACTGTGTTTGGACACATGTGAAACTGTGACCTGCAGTCTGGAGGAAACTAATCCTGAATGTTTACAATCTTCATCAACTCCTGGAATTTTGTGATGTATTCATAGTGTGTTCATCTGTAATTTGCCTTTGTCCAAAATTTGCTCTTAGAATGAATGCTCTAGACTTATATTTGGGCACTTAAATGTAAGGTTCCTAAAAGTCACTTTGTGGTCCTCTCTAGATTGGAATACCATGGCTTAGTTCTTTTCTGGTACCAGTTAGTTTAAATGTTCAGTGCCGTTCTAGAGGAACAGTTCTAAATCAGTATTAGATCATGGACCACGTTAAGAACTTGATGAAACTGTGATCTCTGCCCTTGGGTAAACTGTACTCAAATGCATTCTGAATTTGCCTTGGAATGTCAAGGTTTCAAAGATCCCGGAAGCATCTCCACAACTCCTCTAAAGTAAAAACATGTAATTGCATTCAATTGACTTTATTGTGCAAGAATCGAAAAAAAATTAAACATGGCATGAATGTAAAAAGTAAGGGGAGAAGAAAAAGGATCTAAATCACATTTTATCTTGAATGAAGGAAGACAAATGGCTAAAGAAGAGTTTGAAGTATTCATTCGGTTTCAGCAAGACCTACAAAAAGGATGGTTTAAAATTAGTTCACAGTATGTTAACAGTTCTCATATGTAAACTTTTATTTAACTTCCATTATTTTTCTTTTGTGACTGTATCAGTGTTTATCAAATTAAGTGTTTTAATTTAAATATTTAAAATTGGCAATAGGACTTTACTTACTTTATCTACATAGACAACTGTCCTTTACATGATTCTTTATAAGTGGTAGACAGTGGTTTTAATTCAGGAATCTAGATTCCCGAGTTTTGAAGAAACGTACTATTGAATAAAGATTATTCCATTAAAAACATTAATTATGTAATAATAATGTTTGATGAATAAAATATTAACTAAATATTAATTTATTTTCATGTTGTTTTTGAAGAAGTAGCCTTTTCTGGCTTATGCTAGTACCATCAGACCACAGACCATTGTGTGGTATAAAACATGTAAACAGTTTAATGGACTGAAAAACTTTGTTGCAAATCTCTAAACTTTTGTACCTTTATTTCCAAATTATTTAATTCTTTGGATAAAATTTTCTTTTCATTAATATAACTTCCTAAAAATTTTCAGCTATTTTAGACTCTATTTTTATTCATCAATCCAAATAATAAGCAGTAACTTTTTATATTACATTTGATATCATGAAAGTATTCTTTTAGTAGCTATGTGTTTTTGAAGCTAAGAATTGTAATTATTCCCTATTTTATTTTAGAAGAAATTTGTGATTCCTAATTTCATGGAACCTTCCTGGAATAATATCTGAAATAAAGAGTGCTTGGGAAATATATAATTTCCTTTCAATCTATTCATACTCAAAATTAGAGTACAAGAGCATTGTTATCGAATTAAAAAATTAAAACTCATATTCTAAATAACTTGATCTGAGAAAATTCAATTTTGAGATAAAAAATCAGAGTATATATAGTATTTTACTCACTGTCATAGCTGTCTGTGAATAGTGATGAAATAAAACTAATACATTCTAAGAGTGTTCCAGTTGGCAGAAAAAGCATTTGAGAATAAAATTCCCAAATTCTTAATTTTATAAGGTGTGATTATATTTTGTTGGAACAGAATCTATTAATTGATGTGCTATAGTGATATAGGTCCTCCAAATAAAATTACAATTATCCTATTTTGCCTGCTCCCATAACATACTTAATTTATCCATTCTCACAATTTTAGATTTTACAATTGTATTGATAGTTCCATGCTTCTTGTTTGGATTGTTCATTTTATATTTTGTTCACTTACCTATATTATCTTCTATTTTGTTTCTTTTATACAACTGGTGAAGTCACTGGCACTGTGGTAGTTTCAGGGGTGTTGACAAACTCTGAGAAAGCTGCAGGAATGACTGTGGTGCTCACTGCTGGTTCATCAGTAGGAACTGGTGTAGGCTCAATGGTATTTTTAACATCATTGGCAGTGATAGTGGTTTTATCCTGAATTTTCTTTGGGGGAATTGCCATAAATGATGGGTGTAGATATGGGTGAGGTTGTACCATGGTAGGATGGGGGATAGTTGACATGAGATGCCATTGGGGAACCTGGGCATGTGACATATGTACAAATGCTTTTGTAGAGTATGGATGAATCATATATGGATTATTAATTGATGCAACTGGTGTACGTTGATAGTAATTAGGTTCAAAATGAGGATTCCTATTCAACACATAATGAATTGGGACATATGAGACTATCTTCTCATTAAACAACCTTTCAATTTTTTTGTTGCACTGAAAAAAGAATAAAATATGTAGAAAAGTATGATTATAGAAGAATGTAGAGCATTTTTTGAAATAATATCATTTGATATTGATACAACATTTGAAGTATGGAATTCAACATCATATTATTTTACATGATATGGATATATACACCTTCCTTTTAATTCAATATTTTATATATTATAAAATCTTATTTTCAATAATTTAAAAGTAATACTTGTTTCAAACAAAGTAGATGAGATAATTCTCAATACAAACCACATTGCCCCAGATTTGATACATATGGAAATTACTTAGTAAATACTGGATATTATGAGTACAACACCTTGAAAATTCTCACAGGGAACTTGGACATATCATGCACAAACACAGATAACACACATATACACTAATGTACATATTTGTACCACATATTTGTAATTGCTCAAATTTTATTTATCTAGAGCTTAGCCTGAGAGATGGTAAGCTTTATTTTCTCTAAACTAATTATAGCAAAATAGTAAAATGTGGGAGGATTTCTGGATTTAAACTTTGGATTCTTTTTTTCTTTAAGTTTAATTTTCTCCACAAAAGATGAGCTAAGGAATTTTCAATTTTTAATTGAACATTAAATTATATGCATACATAAAAATTTGTATTTCTATATGAATAGAAAACAATACAGCAAAGCAAATATTTCTCATAAAAGGAAACAAATTTGAATATATTAATTCAAATATATTTGGGAAACAAAAGGAAAACAAATACAAGTATATAAGTATTCAAGGGCAGGTAACAGAGAGATCTTTCCCCCAAGTCTTAAAATGTAGACAGGAGAGATATTAAGTTTTACTTTGTTTCTATGTCCTCTCAATGTGAAATGTTGAGAGTGTTTTCTCTTGTGGCTGCATACACAAGAAAGACAAAAATACATGATTTGGGCTATGTAATGGAACCAAGAGCAAGAGTTTCAGATGAACAAGTCTGAGGTGGATTTGTATTATCTTTTACTGAAGTGCAGTGATAGGGTTTTTTTTTTTTTTTTAAAAAAAAAGATCATTAGATTATTTGTTGAGATCAAATGCTTATGTAGTTTTTAGACAGCATTTGAATATCAAACTTTGAAGAATAATGTATTTTGGAGCTCATGTGTCTAACAGAAATAATTAAGATAAACTTACTGCTGTTTTTTCCTGGTCTTGTACGTCTGCAGCCTGAGGAGTTACAGAAAAATAAATAATGAGAAATTGAATAAAAAAGCACGGCAGTTTTTAAAATTATTATTTGTTCTTATTCTCTGTTTTAGTTTAAAAATATTTTTTTATTGAAGACACAATGTGTATGATGTCAGTATTTTTATTTTTGAGGAAGGGTTAATTTAGCACATAAGTGGAGTATAACTCAACTTAAATAAATTAACAAATTTATTTAATGGAAAATCTACAAAGTTTAATTTTCCTTTTGAATTATTTATGCATGCGCCAAGGGCTTGAAGCCTTTCTGAAATGCAAAGGACAGTTTGCACAAAGTAGGCTCTAATAGCTTGAGAAGCTGCGAAGAGCAGTTAATTGTGGCTCATTTTATGATTGGAACTTTAACTCCTATTATTCAAAGGAGAAATTTAGGGAATACTCCTATTACCTAAATTTTTAATATGCAAGTAGCTATAAAACATAATTTAAAGGAATAATAAGAAATGTGAAAGTCACAGTAATTCAAAAATTTTAAGAGTAGTTTTGACTCCAAGAATTTGCATAACAGAGCCAGGCCATGGCACATGCCTGTAATCTCAGTGGCGCTGGAGGCTGAGGCAGGAGGATTGAGAGTTCAGAGCCAGCCTCAGCAAAAGTGAGGTGCTAACTCAGTGAAACCCTCTCTCTAAATAAAATATAAAAGAGGGTTGGGGATGTGACTCAGTGATCAAGTGCCCATGAGTTCAATCCCTGGAACACTCCCCACACACAACTAAAAGAGTTTATATAACAGCTGGTCATGGTGGTGCACACCTGCAATTTGGGAAGCTGAGACTGGAGGATTGTAAGGTCAAGGCCAAACTCAGCAACTAAGCCAGGCCTTAAGCAACTTAGTAAGGCCCTGTCTAGAAATGAAAAAATAAAGCCAGGTGCAGTGGTGCATGCCTGTAATCCCAGAGGTTTGGGAGGCTGAGACAGGAGGGTTGCAAGCCAGCCTCAGCAATAGCGATGGGCTAAGCAACTCAGTGAGACTCTGTCTCTTAAGAAAAAACAAAAACAAAAAACAAAACAAAACAAAACACAAAATAGGGATGAGGATGTGACTCAGAGGCTGTGGGCCCCTGAGTTCAATCCATGGTGCCAAAAAATAAAATAAAGAATAAAAACATAAAAATAAAAAGAGCTGAGAATCTGCTCAGTATTTAAGTGCCTCTGGGTTCATTCTTTAGTATTAAAAAAAAAGAATTTACATAACAAATTTATTTAAAAGAGCTTAACTTAAAGCAAGCCTAAATTTAGTAATAAATGAAGGAAGAACTCCAAAATTTTTACAATCTTAACTGAGCAGCTATAATATTAGCTATGCTTCCTTCTTTGTTCTTGCTGGTGGCAAATATAGTGTTTGAAATTCCTGAATGAACATGAAAATAAAACAGAGCAATAGCCAAAGCAACAATAAAAACAATTTTAAAATATCAAAAGAGAAGCAGAACCATTTTTTTGCCTACTGTTAAACATATCATGCAGTTCAAAATGGCATTGGCCAACCTTAGAACTGTTTATGGTCCTGTGTCCTTGGGAAGGAGCCTGCTAGTTGACATCATGAGTGGAGTATAACTCAAGATAATGATTTGAATGCTAGAGACAGAGTGTCAAGGTCTCAGTAAAGAAGCTTAGCCAAACCTCTGATATTTAAGGATTTAGTACCTAAGGAGAATGGAGTCTGGGAGAAGTGGGAATTTAATTAGAACAATTGAAGATATATGACTCTATTTCTGTATTTGTTCTTTATAAATTGTCTTTAGAGCATTTTATAATTTTAAAATATTTTCAGTATTATTTTCCCAGAATATATATTTTTATAGCATAAAAATTTGAAAGCCTTTTTTTATACATGATTAAGTGGGATTTTTAAACTATGGTAACTAAATGGGTATCTAGAACATTACTTTTATGATAGAAATAAATATTAAAATATCTAGCATGGAGGTATTTTATTCTATGGGGTATAAGTGTATTTAGAAATTTAACCCTTAAATAAAATATTCTTGGTTAAATTAAATTAACTCACCAAGAGAGGCAGGGTTAGTGCCACAACATTCACAATCAGAAGTAAAGCTTTCATTGTTGCACCTAAAAAATAAAATATTAAAAATATCTATTAATAACAATTTAGAAATGATTTGATATAATGCTTGCTTTGCTTTGCTTTAAGGAAAAAAGAGCCTGATTTTGTAGGTAGATTTAGCCAAAGTGGAAATTCTATTTTATTAAGAGTATTAGAAACTCTAAACTTAGAGGAAAAAATTTTGAATTTAATTTTGATAATATTAATAAAAGCATTATTACAAGTTCAGTCATCTGTTCATTTAGTATATTCTGAGAACTAATAAGAATGAAGTCCTCTGCCGAATATTGAGATTATCAAGGTGAAACTGATATCAATGTTGCTAAAAAATAACATTCTCTTTAGGGATGAGAGCTGACACATAAAATGCCACAAAGACAGTTTCTCCTGACAGAAAGTTTCAGTTGAGAGAAGCAGCAAAGTCTTTGTGCAGATGACATATAGATGGAACTTGCCTATGGGGAGTTTAATGGGGAAGAACACACTTCAGGTAAAGGAGAAATCCTTGAAAATATCCATGGACATTTTGATTGAAGTGTTAGGATAAGGGAAAGACAACGTTGGGAAGAAAGTTTAGAGCAGAAAAAGTAGAGATCTTAAACGCTGGTTAAAGCATGAGGCACTACTTAGTAAATAATGGAAAACATTTGTTTTTGGACTAGACACTAATAAGACTATACACTCCTTCAGAGGACTGAATTCTAGTCCAGGTCTCATCCCTACTTGTGTAACCACAGTCAATTCATTTCCCTTTCCCAGACTTTGCATTACTTACCTGTAACATAAGAGTTTGATCTTAGTGATTTTTAAAATTTGGTGATCTATGATCAATGTACATAAAGTACATAGGATGGAAGAGGAGTGGGAAGATGTGAAAATGCACTCATCATAATCTAAATCTACTTCTCTAGTAAACCTAAGTGATATGATTAATTTCACTGTTTTAATAAGTATAGATAGGACAACTTCAGTGACTGACTGAAATGTTTAAGGAAACAAAATAGCTTATTTATTTATTTATTTTAAATAAAAGAGGATCCAGTTATACTCAAAGGACTTAAAAGCAGCATACTAAACTATAATGATGCATCCACATCAATGTTTACAGCAGCTCATTTCACAATAGCAAAACTATGAAACCAACCTGGGTGCCCTTCAACAGATAAATGGGTAAACAAAATGTGATATATATATCTATAATATTCAGTTATATATATATAACTGAATATTACTCAGCCTTAAAGAAGAATGAAATTATGGCATTGACTGGCAAATGGGTAGAGGCGGAGAATATCATGCTAAGTGAAATAAGCCAATCCCAAAGAACCAAGGGCCTGTATTTTTTTCTGATATGCTGAAACTTATTCACGATAAGGGGGGAGAGCTAGGAAAGAATAGAGGTAATTAGGATTAGAGACAGGAGAGGGAAGGGAGGGAAGGGAGTATGAGGGTGGGAAGGACAGTGGAATGAATCAGACCTTATTACCCTATGTGTGTATATGATTACAGGACTTGTATAATTCTACATCGTGGACAAAATAACGAGAAGTTACACTCCATTTATGTATGATATGTAAAAATGCATTCTGTATTCATGTATAATTAATTAGAACAAATAAAAAAAATTTAAAGGATACAGTGTCACATTTGCTTCTTAATTTTAATAAATTGTATTTTAGACAGTAATGTCACATCTAAACTTTTAGGTTCACATTATATTTGTGAAGTAAATATTAAGTACATTTGCTGCAACTATTGTTATTGCCATACTTAAATAAACTTGAGTCACTGCAAAGTGAGCCTTAGAAAAGTCACAGAATTAAAGCCCCAGGTAAAGAAAAGGAATCGGATCAGATTCTATTTGCCTTTGAAAATTCTTGACTAAAAAATAATCTTTCTCTCATAAATCATAGACGACTTCTCAATTCACATAAAATACCACACATACAAAAGAGAACATTCTATAAAATGATAATAGTTCCTCCCTTTTTAGCATAAATAGAAATCAGAGATAATATGCTTTACATTTTAGGTACTTGAACCAGCAAGTACTTGAACTTGCCCTCATCACTTGGAAAGAAGATATAGTTTGTGGAATTATAGAATTATTCAACTTCCATGAGCACATGAAACACATAACTTTAAAACATAATTATACTATAACAAAATTATGACTTTGGGTAGAAACAAAATTCAAAGGTAATTAGTGGATCAATGAGGATTATTATCAGAGGTCCATCTTCCTGACTTGACTCTCTGTTTGTAGCAATAGGTTTATTGTCTCAAGCATGTTCTTATTTAGAATTCATGATGTCTTCTCTAATTTAGCCAGTATCAAACCTTGAGCCAAAGTAAAGTTAAAATTAATTTAATCATAACACCATTAAAAAAACGAGGGTTTATGTTAGAAATTAATGTTGAAGTAATGCTTGGACACATTCAAACATAGCAATAAAGACTAAAAGGAAGAGAATGTCATTCAAAAATAACTCGGTGATGACCCAACTAACTACTGTGGAGAATCACTCTGAGCTGTTTAGAACAATTACCTTTGCTTGTTTCTGTCAGGTCTTGCTTGGCAGTAAGGTCTTCCTTGGCTTCTTGGTTGTAGAGAAGCCCAAGATAAATAACCGAAGACTAATTATAGGGTATTAGTACCTTGAGTCCATTCTATTTCCCTCCTACTTTCTACCCAATGAGATGATGACAAAATGGGAAGATCTGACGACAGCAGGGTCATCTTTAGGTCAATCTTAGCTAATGAAACGCAGAGGGGGAAATAGAGTTGTCAGTCACAAAGCTTAAAAAAAAAAGACTATTCATATCTTATTAAATAATCTTATCCTTTATAAAATATAGGATTGTTTAAAGTACTAATTGTATTATTAACTAATCTTGCCTAATTAAATTTAAAGCTATTGTTAAAACGAAAAACAGCTAGCCACATACTTTCATATTTTAATTTCTTTTTTCTTTTTTAAGTCAAAGAAACTGAATTTCAAGTGACCCTACTTTTAGTATGGGCTATGGTTTGTATTTTTCCTTTCAGAATTATTACTATTGTTTTTTAAAAATGAGAAAACTGTCTCTTTCATGCCAAAGAGTACAATTTTTACAAATTAAATCTGTATATGAAGTCTTAATACAAAGTGGGAGAGTCATTTGCATTTGAACTATGATATCTATTCTTCAGTATGATTATGATATAAGCATTTAATACATCCTAATTGGTTAAGCTCTTATAATAAATTTTTTTTACATTTAAATTTCAGTAATGTATGTGAACCATTTAGGATGTACAATATTAACTTATTGAATTGGGGATAATTGTTCAATTTCTTGGAAAACTTCTTCTGATTTGTAGTACAGATCATAAAGCTGCTGATAGGTTGAATGGTTTGGTAAAATGTAGCTAAACAAGTAGTCTTCATAAAAATTTAGGAAAGAGTATTTTCTTTTTTCTGGAAGTAATTTTAGCTATGATTTTACTTTGGCTGTGAAGACATTAGCAGACTGAGGTGTTTATAGGAATTGATGTAGAACTGCCAGAATATAAATAAGAAATATTATCATCATTGTAGATATTTCTGGGTTCCTCTCTATTTCTTGGAACTGATTCTGGCTTAGAAAATTGAGAACATTGTTCTGAATCCTATAATACTTTTTCAGCTTATTCAGAGTAAGTTGAGACTTTCTGTTTCTCAGAAAGTTGTTTTTCGCCCTTTGGGGAGAGATGGCAAAGTTTTGAAATCACTAAACATACTGTGAAAGTAGCAAGACCAGCCATCATCTCAGCTGTTTAGTTACCCTGTTTTCCCGGTCAAGTGAGAGTTGGAAGACTTAGTATGATCAGTTCCCAAATTGTAAAGGTATTCTATTCTATATGTGATTTCTCAGTGATTAAGTTAGGAATAATTTTAAGCTGAGTGTTTAATTATCAAATTTCCAAGTTCCAAAGATATTAAAACTGTAATAATGCTGCTTTAGTAGAAACATGTATTCATTTCAAGAACAGCTGGAAATGTAGGAATCCTTCCCCCACAACTAAGAGAAAAAGCATTTCTAAAGCAGGATTAGCCATCCACCTCCAACACCAATCTGGCTTTTGTAGGGTCTTTGCAAAACTTTGCAAAACATATATTATTTCAAGTAATGTTTGAGGCATAAGGGATAAGTTAGAAAAGCAAGCAAACATCCCTGTTCTTGCAATGTTCATTGTCAAATATTTACATGAATATTAATGACATTAGATATTCTTTGTACATTTTGATCTAAGGTAATCCACAAGCACTAAATAAAGTTTTGAGTGAACAAAGCTTGAGTTTTGAGATGAACTAAGCAAACTCCAAAATGGAGCTACCCAAATGTTCTAGTGTTTTATAAAGAAAATTTTAAAAAGGATAAGAACTCCCAGCTTTTACATCTCCCAGAACAAGACTCCAATACTAAGGATTTTTGAAAAAAAAAATCACCAGTCTTGGTCTTGTGACATATTCCTTTTAGGATGCAAAGCCTGCTCCCCCAAACTCTTTGGATTATGGGAAGAGAACTAGCAGGGCTTCCTTTTTGTTTAGGTCCTGATAATTAGTGTTTATAATCCTGATAACTAGTGATGTATAATCTATTTTCCCTTCTTTGAAGATATTCATATCCATGTAGTTTTATTTTTTTGTTTGATTTTATTTCTCTGCCACCTCAGTACCAGGATGATCTCAACACTCTATTGTGTTCTTAAAGTGAGATGTTTGAAGCAGTAGTTGCAATATAAATAACTAATATAGTTTTCTATGTTTAATTAGTAAGTCATCAGAACATTGGCAGAAACTCATAGAAATCCATATACTTCAGAAATCTTTGCTATATGTGAGTCATGGAAAAATAGTGTAAGTCTCTAAAAATGTTGTGAGCAATATAGCAAAATAGAATATCAAAATTTTGCTCTTCTGTAGCTGATTCCCTTAAATCAGCAATATACACAATATACAGTTCTAATTGTAAATAAGATGTTTTGGGGAATATAATGGCCACAATCTCTGCTTGCAGAGAACATTTAAAGAGATAGTGCTTTCTCCTGAACACTTACAGAGGTGACTGTTTTGAGGCTGGAAGAAGACATAGATGGCTTCTGGATCTATGCATATCATTATGACTTTAGCATCAGTGCATTCATAACTTCAGGCGTTAGTAATTTTTAGGATCCCAGGACTTATGGAGCCATTATAAAGACACAAATAAAAGGCAAGGGATAAACAAGAAAAAAATTCAATTTACATATACATTATCCAAGATGGTCTGAAAACTGTCTTAACTCTGCCCTATATTCATTCCAATAGGTCTTTCATTCCTCCAACATCAATCAAAATTGACAGCCAAGTCAATGAAGATCTTCATGTAGCCCACTTTAGAGTTAAGGCTTATATCCTCCTTTCAATCTTCTAGCAGCTTTTGGCATGGTGGTTAGTCTTCATTGCTTACAAAGTCTCCTTCACAAATCACTAGTGGCTCTTAACTCCTCTTTTAGTTCATTTTATTTTTCTCAGACTCTGAGTTGGGAAAACTTTCAAGGATTCTTTCTAAGTCCATCATCCCTCTACTTTTTTCTTCCTTAATCTTCATTATTTGTTCTGTGACTTAATCCATTCCTATTGACTTAAATACCATCAGCTTGCCGTCTACTTCAAAAGAACTTCAGGTCCAGGTCTCTAACAGCTACTTTAACATCTCCATTGGTATGTAAAATAGATACTCTGAACTTATCATGAACAAAATAAAATCTTTAATTTCCAAACACATTCCATTCCTAAACTAGTCTTCTACTAGTTTCTTTTCTGCTTTCTTAATAGTGCTACGATATTTCTAATGGCTCAGAAGAAAATCCCTTGACTAGACTTTTGTCTCTTTCCCCCAATAAACCATTAGAAGAGTTATAAGCCTTATAAACCATGAATTTGCCACTGTTTTCTAATCTTGCCTTTTTATTTCCCTAGTTCCAACCACTGGTGTCTCACACCTGGATCAACCCAGTACTTCCCTTTTTGGTCTATTTTTACTCTTAATCACTTTACAATAATTCTTCACACATTTATAAAAATTTTCTTTTTTGAACATATATATGATACGATTTTTTTTTTTTGCTTAAAATATTTCAATGCCTTCCTATGGGACTTGGAATATATTCCAAACTCCTTACCAGGGACTATAAATTTCTTTGTGATTTTATCTTGATCCTTCTTACCTAATCTTGAGCTGCTTTTTTCTTTCACTATTTGCCAGCTTTGATGACCTTTCTTTTCCTTGAATGTGCCAAACTCTTTCCTGAACCAGGAACTTCCTATTTCTACTCGGTTCCTGGAATGTTCTTGCACTAGTTCTTCTCATTAATGTCCTTTTCATTATTTAGGTTTCAGGTAAAATCTTTCCTTTTTAGAGTAGCTTTCTTTGGCACTCTTAAAATAGTCACTTCTCCTTTGGCATTCCCTTATTTTATCTTTTATTTTCTTCATATCGCAATATGAACTTTTTGCTAATATATATTTACTTAGTTTTCTTTCTTCTTATAATAGAAACTAAGTTTTCCAAACCATTACAATATGTGTGGTGCATACTGGACACTAAAATATTGTTTGAACAAATTCCTGCCTTAGCCCACACTGTTGAGTCAGAATTTTGGGGGGGGGGGAAATGTCCCTGAAAAGCTACATAGTTAACAATTACCTGTATAGTTTTTGTGCAAGATGAACGTTTTTGAATCAGTTCTTTTTTCTGGATGAAGCTAGAAGCCGATAAAAAAGAGCTTCTACTGGGGGCAGGCATTTTAGCTATTTCCCCAGGAATTCTAATTTACTTTATAGATGTACTAGTGTTTGTGGTTAAGAGATGAAGTTTTCTGGAATCAATTTTTCTCTGAGAGCATTAGAACTGATCTTCCCTTGGCTGTTGGGGAAGCTGAACTTCAGCTGAACTCCCATCCAAAGTGACTTCAACTAGAATTCAGTGTGCCCCTCTGCTCTTATTTCATTTCCAAACTAAAGTCTTGCATTATGAAGGGGATCTAGAAACTGTCTTAAGCTGAATGGAGAACAGGACAATTATGTCAATGCCTTGCTCTTCACCCTGTTCTAATTGCTGTTAGTTGCCTCCAGCTGTCTTGTTTGACCCACTATATTTGGCCAGAAGTTTCAACTTGGCCTGGTCATGACTGAATTAACATAGAATTCTAGAGAAATACCACCTCTGGATATAGTTAGTAGCTGAAATTACTCATCAGGTGGTATTTGATCTCTATATCTGTATGAAAAATTAATAGAAATGTTAGAACTTACCAAGGAAAAGAAAGAGATTGAATTCCTTCCCTTTTGCTTCTCATAATGGAGACTATTTCTAAGGTTAAGAGAACTTTATCCATTTATTAGAAATAGTGTCTAAAGTATTTTATTCCCAACTTCAACTCTTTTTAAAAACTTTGTCCAATGAAGTTAAAAGTCATTAAAAATAAATATTGATGGCTGGAGGTGTAGCTAAGTGGTTGAGCACTTTTCTAGCATGCCTGGGACCCTGGATTCAGTACTCAGCACCCTAAAACAAACAATTTATTGAATACAGAGTTTATTTATTAAGTAAATAT